TAATAATCAAACACCAATATATTAATTTAAAGATTTAATACGTCTAAAAGAATTAAAATCATAATCACCATTTTATTATCTTATTAGTTAATCGTCGATTCGTTTACTTGGCGGTGCTTTAATTTAATAGGTTTTATTTAACGATAATAATTTTACGATTTATATACCTAATTACAAAAATTATATATTAAGCATTAATATATTTATTTTATGTAAGAATTAATTTTTAATTTTATGCTTAAAAGATAGTCTAGAGTTATATACATATTTTATCGTAAGCTTGTTATTGCAAAAATTACCAATTATAATTTATATATCAATCTCATCTATTTGAGCGAGCTTAAAATATTATTAATTGTTAGCCAGCAGTCGCCTGATCACTGGTATAAAAAATTGAACTATTGTAAAAATATTATAATTTATAATATTAAAGAAAACAAAAAACAATCAATGTCTTTGATTTTTAATATAAAGTACAAGCTAGACTCCAGTGAAAATTTTGATGAATACATGTAAGCTTTAGGTAAGTAAACGATAAATGTATTAATCGTAATCAGTTATACATGCATTACAGTACTGAAGTTTTAAATTCTGAAATATATACTTTAGATATGAAAATAATACGCCAATACCTGAATGTTGTAAATTATTTTATTGATAACTGTTATTCTTGTTTCAATTAAAAATTGAAATTAAAAACAAAATTATTTAATTTATTTTAAATTATTTTTCAGTATCTTTAGTAACGTAATCTTGAGTATTCTCATTAAATACTTCTTTCTTTAGTCTTAATAATAATATGCCTTATAAAAATGTATCACACATTTATTAATAACTACTGTTGTTGTTTAAGCAATTAGAACACTGCACATATTTATGATTTTGATTTTACATAATATAAAAAGTTTTACTATAGAGTATTGCAAAAATTAATTTTTTATTATTTTTACTTCCAATAACCTTCAAATTTCATAAAATGTTTAATTGATTTAAAATGATTAAAGCAAATCCAAAGTGGTTTTCTGTTGACGCTGTAATTGCATAGTTAGATTTAATTTAATTGATTAATTTAAAATATGAAAATACTTTTAAAATTAAATTCTTTAGATAATTTATAAAAAATATACAGGTTATTGGAATTTCTAAGTATATTTAAAGATTATAGCATGAATTATTAAGATTTTTATAGCATTTAAGAAATCTTCCATTGCTGTACTAACTTATTTTTTTCAAACGAGAACAAAAATGATTTACTTTAAATGATTAGACAGATAATTTTTGATAAACATTTAATGTATCTAAATTTATATTTGAACGAGTAGTTTTTGATTTATTAATAAGTATAAAAAAATGACTTTAATTTTACAAAAATATAAAATATGTTTACCTATGAAGGTAGAATTTTTATAACTATAAAATATTGATAGATTATTATTATAATTTATAATTATATTATCATTTTCAAATAACCAATATCATCCAAATTTATTATTATAAATTTATTATCCTTAATAAATACACAAAATAAACTAACTTAAAATTACTTGTTCTAATTTTGATATAGATACCTACATCAATATGTTCATATGTTCAGGAAAGAATGACGAATTTTGTTTGAAAAAAAGTTAATATCCCCACAAAATACAACTCTTTAATTAAATAAAAATCTAAACATTTGAAAATATTTTGATCCTTATGAATATTTAAAGATTTTAATAATTGAAATTAGAATAAAATCATAATTAAAAAAAAAAAAAAAAAATGGGATTGAGCATACGTGTTCAACCACTATGTTATACATATGCTCAGCTATACTCAATACTTATATACTGTAGATTCTTGTCAAACAAAATTCAATGCACAACAAAATTAAATACGAATAATTTATGATATACGTACTAATATAATATTACTATTATTATTTAAACATAATATTATATTATAATACTAATGGTGAACGATTAATTACTGTTATAACGCCTCAATTAGTAAAATAACTGAAAAAAAATGTTTTATACAATACGTTTTGAGAACAAATTACCAGATAATACTATTTTAAAAAATAAGTAAATACTATTAACCCTGTTAATAAAATTTTTAAGACGTAATTCTAGTCGAAAATTTAAGTTAAGAAATAAAATTAATAAATCTATATGATACAAATAGTTTTTTACTTAACATACTTGACATTTTATTTGTGTACCTAATAATTTAAAAAAATTTGGAATTAATTGATTCTTACAATATGAGTATTCTAAGCTATTTTATACGTCTATTTAATGTTATAATATATAATTATGTTATATTTATTAAATCGATATAATTTAATGTCCGTGGCCCATCTCAAAATTTAAAACAATCGATTTTACTTTTAATTATATAGGTAGGTACTAGATAGTATATACCTACGTAACGAATCTTGTGTTTTATTTTGAAAAAATATTTCATGTAAATGTTTCAAATTAAAACAGCTATTCAATTTATTTAACAAAGCATTATTTTGGCCGAATGATGTTGAATTATTGGACTATGATACTATAATAATTTATACTATCATGTCATTAAATATTAATCAACATCAAAGTACAAAAATGTTGTGTAGGTACTCAATACCTATTATACTATATTTATCAAAAATATAACGTGAAATATGTATGTCATATTATCATTATTGTAGTCATTACTGTAGCTTAATTTTTGTAAATATGTGCATCATATAAGTATAGTATAATTATATTAATAATAACTATACGATACACGAAATGATAATCAAACATTTAAATTACGATTTTATGCTTATTATAAATATATTACAATTTTATTCATAGATATTAATTTAATTAGCAATCAAGTAAACTATATATAACTAAACCAAGTCCCAATACACTATATAAGTGTTATAAAAGTCACGGAAAATGTTTAAATGTTGTGCAACGAAATCGGAGGGGGGGAGGATCTCGTGCGAGAACGCCTATCCTGTACATTTATACTTATTATAATTTAAAACATGCGTAAACGCGTTCTTCGCCTATGAATAAAGATATTGCTAATTCTGAGGACAGACAGTTAAAAGAATAATTTATTTTTCTACAGGGGTTGGCATGGTAAAACGCAAATTAGCCCACACCACAACTCCAGTGGTGGAACTGATCAAAAATGATAACGGAAAATTCGTGTTGTCGTCAAACTCAATTATGAAAAACTCATCGATCGTATTCAAGCTCAACGAGGAGTTCCTCGAAGAGACGATCGACGGCCGAAAAGTTAATTCGGTCATCAGCCAAGATGGAAATAAGCTGGTGCACATTCAAAAATCCGACAAACACAGCGACACCATAATCATTAGAGAATTCGAACCCGATCAATTGAAAATGGTAAAAAACTGATGATAAAACACATGTTAATTCTCCCCCTCTCCCACACACACACACATTGGTCTACATGCGCACCACACGTTCGTTATACTCACACATATAATGAGACTTTACACTTTTTATGCTAAAGACCTAACCAAATAAACTGTTTGACGCAATACATTTTGAAAACAATTCATCAGACAAAACTTTATTTGAAAATAAGTAATCCCGTTTTGTCCATTCGTGTCAATAAAATGTTTTACGCTTCATTGTAATTTGAATGTAAATTGAGAAATAAAACAATACAGAAACTATTCTATAGTAAAACCCCATTAAAATTAAATTAGTAGTTTGGATATAAAGAGGAACAATATGGAAAGCTAATATTTTTTCACTAGAGGGCAGAGACTCATATTTGTGGTGTTGTTAAACATTTGTATACACCATTAGGTATTCATATTTCGTAAATTATTATTGACTTAGGAACAATCCTTATTTCAACTTAGAACACAATATATAAGCATAAGTACATTATTTTTAAATGACATTAATGAATTTTAATTTTTACCTGAAGTATAGTAATTTAACAAAAAACTGTTTTATTTCTTTATTTTTCTTTTAAATCTATTTAAAAATAAATTACAACAATAAAGCAATTTAGTGATTTTACTATTGTACCTTAGTATTGTCTAGCAAGTAACACTATTACATATTAGGTACTCTATTTAATTAAGTTTGGTATAATATACAAATATTATAGTCTGAATGTCTAATCTATGACAGAGAAAGTTGTGAGTATAAAATTAAATTAGGTATACTCTAAATTCAAAATGATTTTAAATAATTTCTTCCATTTTTTTTTTAACATTAAACGGTATAGTATCATCTATACAGTATGCTCACATACAAATACTGGTTAATTTTTTTTTTTTTATCATAAATCAAAAATTTTTTTCTGGCATTTTATATTATTTAACTATTTTAAAACGTTATCATGCAATATTATTCTATATTTGTCCACGATTTACATAGCTATAGAATTAAAAATAAAATATTTAATTCAATTTCAAGAAAAGCAAAAATTAATTTTCTCAATAACGAATCGGTCGTTGTGATGTAAAAAAAAAATCATTTTCACTTGTATATTTATATCGCTGACTTTAATTCATATTTTTTATGAAATACTAATTATGGTAATTTTTATACCACAAATAATAAATATCTCTTAAAACCCATATGATAAATCAATTAACAAAATAGCTATGCGTTGTGAAATTTTTCATATTTTTTAGCATTAAATCAAGAAAAATATAATTGCTACGTTCATTACTTTATGTGTATAACTGTTTTTAATAATTCACGTATTAAATTAAAATATATTTAAAAACATAACCCGTACATAAATAATAACGATAGTTTTAAAAAATTCAAAATTGTCACCAAGGCGTTCGTTTTACTATTATATATTGATTAAAGTAGTACTTAATGATAATTTAAATCGATTTAATTGATTTATTTTCATAATTGTGAGCGTATATACGCATTCAAGAATGTTTATTATGATATTTATGTAATCGCGTTATTGATAAATGTGTTATGAAAAAAATAAGGTAATCGTAAAATACATAGAATATTTCCCACGTTCCTTTACTATGAACATATAAAAGCTCCCGACGAATTGAACATAAAGTGCATATTAGATGTTCACTACAAATTCACACTTTACCTTTACACGCGTGTACAGTAATAATTTGATCGTTGGAAAGAAAAATTGAAACTGTTTTATATTTTTTTACAATCAGTAAAACTAAATAGTAAAGAATGTCTCTGATTTTTGATAAAAAGTTCAAGCTGGAAACCAGCGAAAATTTTGACGAATTCTGTAAAGCTCTGGGTAAGTTATCAATCAACAATTATTTTATTTATTATAAAATATAATACCTATATTATATATCTTTATCTTTTTATATTATTATATATATAATTTTTAAATGGGCAAAAAATGAATAGGTACACTATATTAATTTATTTTAATAACACAAAAATACTGGTTTTAGACATATTAAAATAATAAATTTAAAGATATTTAATAAACAAGGTTTTTTAATTATTTTTTTTAAATAATGAAATAATATTCTTTAATATAGTGAACATTTTGGATTATTATTAAAAAAAAATATATGATGTACCATATTCATAACAAATAAAAATTATCGATTATCCCTATAAATGTGTCCTAATGTCCTAAGTCACGCCATTAATTAATTATTCATGTGAATAACATAATTGCGTCACCATATAATATAATCTATAGTTTATAAAAAAAAGTATTACTTTTAGCATTGATTATAGAATATTTTGTAATATTCTATAATCAATGCTTTTAACTTTGAAATATTTAGCCCGATGTTATCGTAAATTATTTTCGAGTCAATAAAATGTAAATTTAAGTTTCATAAATCATAGTCAATAAAAATTGAGAAATAAATGAATCCGCCCCAAATTCACACCACTACCATCCCCACGTTATTAGTATCAACTCAACTATATTAAAAGTAGGTTGTCGTGAATTTCAAATTTCAAAATTGACTCGAATTGTCTTTATAATATTGTATTTTCGTAGTAATATTTGCATTAGTGTAAAATATTATCTAGATAAAATGATAAAAAAATTAATTCAATTTTTCACTTTTCAGTGCGTCAATAATATATATTATATTATTGATTTAATCTTAATTGTATTCAATAATGAATTTATCATACGCTGTTTTGATTTAAGATGTGTAAACTGTAAACGTTTAGTATAATTATTTATGATCTCAATATAACTATTTAGTATTTCTACGTTGATAAGTATTTAATTACCATATTTATAACGCAGAACTTCCATTTAATATTATTGTTATGAATTTATGATTATAATAAAAATTTTACTATTAGCCTCGTGTGTTATTTGATTTACTTTAGTTTCGTTTCCTAGATATAAAATTAATTATTAAAATATTTTAAAATAAATACGTAAACACACAATTGATAATACTGCGATAATCGACATTAGACTAGGCTCTCGAGTACAATATAATATTACATTGGCCGAATCGATACGAAAATCATGATAGTAATTGAATACTTTAACGTTACAGACTTATTGTAGTTAAATGAATATGATACATGTATTATGTTTAACAAATATCTGTATAATGTCTAAATAACAATTTTAGATTCTGAGTGAAGCAATGAATATATTTATTTTACAATTACATGTGTTATTATTTTTATTTTGTTGTGTATGTATACACGATAACTAAATTTTAAAGTTGTTTCGGATATGAAATTGGATTTAGTTTGTACTTACAGAGGTCGAAGTTAAAAATTCTCAATATTTTTCAAAAAAATTGAAAAAAACAAAATAAGAAATAATTAGAACTTTTACGCAAAATTCGGTTTTCAACAAAATCGATTTTGTTTTTTTGGGTGTTACTTGAAGACGAATATCTATATACCTACAATAGAAATTTTAAATTTTCACCAAAATTTTATAATTTTACATTTATTTTAACTTTTATATTATTTTGTAGAAATTCATGAAAAATTTTCTTTTATAAATATCTAAGATTTTAAAATGTAATTAAAGGTTCTTTTATAAGTTTTTGAACCAATAATGAAAAAAAGTTTCTACCAAAAACAAATCAATTATTTGTTACCTGCATATTTTGAATTTTTAAGACATTTCAATATTTCGGCATATTCACCAATAAAATAATTATTTCTCCTCAAACGATTTTTGATATTTTATTGTAATTAAAAAAATAAACAACGTAGATACTTAAAAAATTCTCAAAATATTTATAATATAATCATTTTCTATGCACGATAAACTTTCAAAGTATTTTGACTCTTTTTGAGTTATTTATAGTCGTATATACATTTGAAATTTTTTAGTTTTATTTTTTTAAATGTCGATAAAATTGTTATTTTTACTCGGTAAAAGGACTTGAAAATGTAATACATAAAATTATCTAAGTTGCGTGTTAACATATTAAGTCAGTAATGTAGTAAAAATGTTAGGCCTATGTATAATAAATTATAATAAGCGTTTCTCCGACCTTTAGACTCATCCGCCGCGTCCGTATTTACAGACCAGACAACCGTAACAACAACATATTGTACGTAACGCTTTAGGTATAGATGACGTGTGATAATATCATATAGATACTAAAAGCAGTGAACACGTTACAATTTATAATTATTATTACCAGCAATATTAGTTTATATGCCAGTATACCACGCATGTTGATCTACGTAATGAAATGAAATTATGAATAAAGATATACCCACATGTACATCATGATATTATTATTTATTATAATGCGTCGATTTTAAGTTAAATAAATATCCCATTATTCACATGGCAGGTTTATTGTATTTGCTAAGTATAATGTATAATTTACTATATCAATATTGTATACACCGTGCACGAGAACTTATAAGCTCGTTTTATGTGACGATCGCATGCCTCGACATTATTAGAACGAATAAATGGAATAAACCAACCAATAATTTTAATTCGATATCAATTATTTTAACGATATAAATGAGGATTCCCGTCCACCGTTATACCCATTAAAATATTAAATACATCTCGATATGACGTCGAACGCATTTACAGCTATTATACGGTCAATAACATTATATCCTGAAAATTATAGCACGGTCATTATTAATATAATATTTAGATGTTAAGTGCAATTATCATTCATAGTAGGTACCCATATCGTATATACAGACTAAACCTAGAATTGTAAATAATAATAATAGCATAATATGCATTGTATAATACCTAAGTTACCGCCAATACCGATATGAGTTAAGAACAGATAAAAACTGATGGTATAGTTTGTATACGTTTTAATTACAATAATTATGTATCGTATGTTTGTAAATGATTCTACTCGGGTGCATTTTCTGTAGGTGTTATTGAAGTAATGCGCACGTTGGGCAAAGTAATATCTCCGGTGGTGGAGTTGACCAAAAATCAAGACGGTAAATATGTGTTGACCAGCAACACAATGATCAGAGATACATCGATCGAGTTCAACCTTGGCGAAGAATTCATTGAAGAGACATTAGACGCCCATAAAGTGAGGTCAATCATCACCCAGGAAGGCAACAAGCTGATCCACATTCAAAAAGGTTCAAGCAACAGAAAAGAGGCGACGATAATCAGAGAATTTGAACCCGATCAACTCAAAATGGTAATAATTATATAAATGAATCATGGTACATAATAAACGACCCCTCCGAGGCTATCTCTCGTGACCTGTGTCGTATTTAAGCATTTTACGCCCTACAGGAGTAACATATTTAAATCATGATAAAAAATCAAGTATACAATCAGCCGCATGCTAACTATATAAGCCAAGTGAAATTTTTACGTTCCAGAACAATAAGTAAAAAACATAATATCAAAAGAATATTTAAAAATGGCCACTTATATGGTTTATATTTTTAGGATTTTCTCGCATGAATATATAGTTTGTACTTTATATACATAAATACGTCTGCGTCTCTTTGAAAACAAACCGTTTAATTGTACCATTGTCTAATTCACATATTATTCATCCTATCTATTTGCGATTATCTGTTAATTATTATAAATAAACGATAAATTTAACATCCATTAGAATTAGATGCATGCGCTCTTTTATTAAATTGTATACCATTTAAATAATTACACAGCTATATAATTAATATGAACGTTAATAAGTAATAACTAAATATTATATACTATGCATCGTTATCATAATGGTTGAAAATATTCAGGTTTTTTTTTATTGACGTATTTGTCGTGTTCTTAGTTCTTACATTAGGTATGTTTATAAAATATACACAATCAAAGCCTATGAACACTGATCAATTACAATGTATTTGTTTGTGATTGTGATTATGTGGTATTGAAGTTGCAACTTACAAGTTCAGAGTTCCATTAACAATGATAAATAAGTATTTATTATTTCGTAATAAAAAATAATGCATCGTCCCTGGCAAAGGTAAATATAATTTAGCATTTAAAATAGCATGTAATAAACAGACGCTATTTAAAATTTTAACATCCGTAATCCCGATATGTAAAATATCGACAAAGCACAATCTGGACAGTTTTAAACCCCGACAGTTTAAAATCTTAACTATATCACCAAACATATATTTACGTATTATATTAATTATTTAAAAATACAAAAAATACATTTCTCTAAAATTACATTATATATTTATATCATCATTCATCATATTATATGAAATTATTATATTCGTTAATCATTATTCAATAATTTAATCCAAGGACATAAAAATTATTACATTATATTTTTTACATAATATTAATTTGTATTATTATATATTTTATTATTCGATAGATAATATAGGTCAACTCGATTTTTGTCTTTTTGTCATTAAAATATATCCCTTGATATATATTTTAGTATTTTAAAATGAGATTGTTTATCAAATTTCAATCATTTTACTATTATAATAGTAAATTTAAAGTATAGGTACTATACCACTACAGCACTATACAATTAACACTTCAAAATACGTTTGTTTATTTGAAATATTTAAATGTTCACTAAGGGTAAATGATTGAGAGTTTTATATTATATACTAGATTAAGCTTTTGCGAGATAAAATAAGACAAAATTATCTTATTTTGTTGAGATTTTGAACTATGGTATATTAAACTGTCAGGCTCTTCCCAATCGGGATTATCATCGTCGAGATTTTAAAAGTCTACCGTAGTTAATTACCTATAGGCACCTAAAAGGTTTGATCTTAAAATGTCTATAAAAAAATAGTGCATACATATTTTTTATAATTTTAAGTTTCAGTAAAAGTATTACTTATGATTTATAAAGAACTTATTACAGCAAAATAACAAAACCGATTTTTCTAAAACTGTGATTTCGTAAAAATCTCCGCTTTTCTCTTTTTTCAATTGCTGAGAAAGATATCGAAAATTAATTCTTATTTACTTTTTAGTTTCCTACCAGGAAATAATTATTGAAGTTAAAGATTGAAGCATTTTTATTGCTTCTAAAGGTATAATGACCAGTGACAGACACGTAAACACAAACACATAAATAATAAATTACGCGCCATTATAATAATGTAATATATAGAACGTTCCACTCTGAATCTAACATTTAAGCCAATTGTAGTCACAATTATTGAAACTGTACGATATGCGCGCACTCTGCATGACTAGTGACTACATACTAGGCCAATATCTCAATTTTATTTATAATTACAAAATGCCTTTTTACAATGCAAAAGCGTTGTATTAATATTATTACATAATGTATAATATAAGTACTAACAATTATGCGCTATTTTGTATTTTTTAGACGATGACCGCTGATGGAGTCACTTGTATAAGAATTTACAAACCAATCAAATAAATTTGAAATGACAACGTCAAACGTATTACTGACAGCAGTATACTATTATATATAATGTAATATTGTTTAAATCTTTAAGATTAAACTAAAATTTAAACTAGGTACTGTAATTTATGTTAACATTAAATAGATACCTACTTAATAATACTACATTATATGATTTAACGAACTAACCTTATATTAATTCTAGTTTTGAGTTAACTAAATCAACCCTTTTATGATTTGCCACGAATGAATACAATATAATATATAATGTATCTAATTATATTTTGTTTTGACGTTAATTTTATTCATTCGTTAATATGGAATACCTTATAATTGCCTACCCAAAGCGCTGTCGAACATCAAAAAGTTTCCATTATCAATAAAAATGCACTTCATAAACATTAGTCTCAAAACGTTTACTAAAGTATTAGCCTTTAAATTTTAATAGTGAAAATATACTGATATTTAGTTTATTTTTAAATAAAAAAATTATTTTACATAATATAATAGGCATTAGACAAATATTAAGTTAATCAATAAATTCAAAGAGTGATAAAATAATTAATAAGTTGTATCCTAATTGATAGTAAAAAAGAATACCCACCTGTTAACTGCATAGATGAGTATAAATGTATAATGATGATTATAAACTATTTGTTCTGTTTATAACTATGTATTTTTAAAATCTCTGGCTATCATATTATATTGATCTCAATCAAGATTAGAATACATCATATTAGTTCAAGAACATAAATCATTTTTTTTTTTAACAGTTTTAAAAGTTTATAATAATTGATTGAGCCTATTGCACTGTTTAGGTTGTATAGTTTATCTCTAACTAGGTACCTATAGAAAACATGTAAGAACTAAGCTGATATTGCAAAAGCTTCTATCTATTCCACAATGTTAATAAAATACATTTAACACTGTAAACAAACGTTTTTTTAATAAACTTAATTTGAATGATAAAATTCTTTATCTATAACATTGGTTTCTTGTATTTTAAGACAAAAATTTAAATTTGTTAAAATCTTCATAAAATAGCATGTGTGTAAGTCACCTACCAATTGGTGTTTAAATTTTAAACTTTGAAACAATGTAAAAACGTATCCATATGTTCATATATTAAATTCATATTTTTTAATGGTAACTTTTTTAAGCACTACGTAACAAAAAATTTCAACTTTTTTATTGCTGAATAATGAGATTATTACTTTACAACTAAACAATATTTACTGTTTACTGGATAGAAAAAGATAATTTTTCAATGCTATAATTAGCGTTTTCATCAAACTTTCAATGCAGGTATAACAAAAATTGTTCAATGTTTAACTTTAATAGATATTAATTAAGACATATATAAGATTTAAGTATTTTAATTAATTCAGTAATAAATTGATAATTAGTAAGTAGTATTTAATGACTAATTGCATCTGGTGGCATGTATCCTGAATTACTGTAACATCGTAAAGCTACTCTTCCATTAGGAAAAATAGAAAGCCATGTAATACTTGCATGATCTAAGCTCAAACGTAACCATGCCTCTGGTGTCAACTGCAATGATCTACAATACAGAACACAAAGTCACAATAATTAATTTAAAACAAGAGTAAACCAACTATTTTTTTAAATAGCAAAAAACTATTTTCAAAATAAAATTATAAGCTTTGTTTTGGTTAATAATATCTGCAATTATACATTTTTATCATCAACACAACACTTAAGATTAGATGCTTATACACAATAAATAAACATTACAATTACCTCATAACAAAATATCTTATAACATTTGCATGACAAATTATTAATTCATAAGAGTCTTCATTTTGTTCAGGAGGCGCTCTATGAATGAATTTTCGAAAAGCCGCTTCTATACGAGCTCCATCCCTATAAAACTGCTAAAATTTGTAATAAAATTATATAGGTTTGTTACATACAAATTACATAGCGGGTAAATAATTATTTAAATTATGTTTACATATAACTCAGGTTTCCAACGTTTAGATGGCGGATCTGGTTGTACTGGAGCTCCTTCAATTAATAAATCAGATGATGTCAAAGGAATATCTGGAGACAATTGTTTTTGGATTATTGAACAAGTTTCCATTGCACGAGTCATTGTTGACTGTGTAATTGTTGTCCATGGATAATTCAATATTCTTAAACGCTCACCAGTAAACAGAGCTTGTTGTCTACCTGCAAAAAAATATTTTTTAATTTAAAAAAAAAATAATAAATATCCAGTTGTAGATAATAAATAAATACAATATCAAAAACAATGTTCTTTAAGTGTTTATAAATATATTATAAACGTGCATGTTTTATAAATGTCATTAATAATAATTTTATTAAGTGGTTATTGATTTAATATTGGATAGAGTAGGTTATTATAATAGTTTTTATCTTATTATTTATTAACAAAGTTTAGAAAATTGAAATATTATTTACATTTAAGATAATATTGTATAAATTAAAATAACTTTATTAGGTATATTTCATCCACATATGATAAGTCAAATTCTCCTATTTAAATAGTTTTACCAAGATACTAGTATTTAATAATAGACGTTTTCTTAAATGAATGAATTTACATTCAATTATTTTCTTTGGACACAACATTTATTATTATTCATAGATATTAGATACATACCTAATTCAGTCAACTTTCTTTCTCCATCAGTCTCGCCAGATACATTGTACTGGCCATGTCTAATAAGAAAAATGTGCCTTGTTGCACAGGATTTTTGGCTTTCAATTTTCTTATCATATATATCTTGAAGCTCTGGTTTATTTGAGTCAATTGGTTTTACTAGACTTTTAGGTTGTCGCCTGAAAATTGATATGTTGACAAACACATTCAAACATATATACACGTGATAAGAGTAAAGGTTAAGAATAAATAAAGAACAAATAAAAAATAAATAGTATAAAATATAATTTATTAGTGTCATTCATTGTGCTGAAAGACTAGACAATATGACTATGTTAGTTTTGATTAGGACTTATTTTGCAATAAGCAAATAAAAAACAATTGAGATTATAAAGCAAAATATTAGTAATAGAAAATAGGAAACTAAATAAAATAAATGTTTTTTATAAGTGACTAGGAATGTGAAAGAAAATATAAAAACAAATATTAATAAATAAATACACCTATAGTTATTAGGTACTTAATATAATTTTAGTGGGCAGAATATAAATTTAACAATGCAGTCTTATTTGATAGTAGTTATTAGTATTTAAATATTATAAAATTAACAACATATAAATTTGGTGCACAAATTAAAGCATCCAGCAAATATTTTATTTTGGTATTAAGCCTCGTGCTCTCGGGTAGTTTTTATTTGAAGTGGGTTTAATCTTAGGTCCAACAGCACTTCGTACACTTTTTGGCCGTTCTGCAATCGATGCATCAACCTGCAGATCGTCTTCGACTTTTAATGCTTCATCAAGCATTGATAATAATGAAGGTGAAATTTCTGGTTTCTTATACTCTTCTAATTTATGTTCAAGTGTAAGTAAATTTAATGTTATTAAATTTTCATTTCTTCTTGTATTAATCACACCATTAATGCAGCCACGTGTGTGACCTTCTAATTGATTACTAACCATGCGCCATTCATTGGTATCATCATCATAATATAATCTATCTTTAACACTCTGAAGTTCATCCTGAGGTATAAAATTTGACATTATTATATTACCAAGTTTTAATTGACGAGTCATTGCTTCTTGATTAGACTCAATGTCTCTTCGTTGATTTGAGTATTCATCTTCTTTAACTTTTAATTCTCCTTTAAGGCTTTGATATAGAACCATTAATTTATCAAATTTAGATTGTTTGGATTCTACTTCTTCTAGCAATGTTGAATAAGTTTCCCTAATTGACTCAGTATAACCAGCAATTTCTTCTAAATTTTTAGCTAATTCTTGTTCCATTTTTATTTCTTCTTGAATTTCTTTATTACGTTTATCAATTTGACTTTGCTGTTCATATAAATGATCCGTTATAGACTTTCCTCCTCTCAACACACTGCTTTCCATGGATTGAATACGAGTAATCAAAGAAGCCATAAAATCCATTTCTTCAGCAACTTTAGCCTTTTCCAATTCTATGTCATACAACATTCTATTTTGATCATCGGTGGATAAATTTTCTTTATTTTCTAATATATTATTACGTTTTTCATTTAGATCTTGTTGTTGTTTTTCTAAGAATTTAGTATGTTCTTGAAGATTTTCCACGTCATAATTTTTTTCCTCGTGTTTTCCTTTTTTAGAAGTAACTTTTTTTGATGATTTTTCATTTAAAATATTACGTAACTTTGATATTTCATCTTGATATTGTCTAATCAAGGCATCCTTTGGGTCTTCATTAACACGTGGTGCATTATGAATATTTTTTGCTCTATTAGCATAGCGTAAAGTTGTAAGAGTTTCATCCCAATTATAACTTGCTGGACCGATATTAGCAATCATCAATGTTTTTGAATTGCCACCTAATGAATCTTGTAATAATCGAGTGAGTTTGGAATCTCTATATGGTATATGCGAAGAATTTTCTTCTACAAGTGCGTGTATAACATTTCCTAAGGTAGAGAGTGAAAGATTTATTTTTCCAGCTTCTTTAAGCCTTTGGCCAGTGGCTCCACTCTTACTTTGTCTTTCACTACCTGCTAAATCTACGAGATTTAATTTACCAACTCTTATACGTTCAGTTGAACTTTTTATTTCAACAGTAACCGTAAAAATAGCATGGCTCCTAGAACTATGTTCATTCATGTCTGTAGCACCAATCGTTCTATTTTTGTTACCTTCTTGCATGACTTTTAGGATTTCTTGGACGTTTTTGCAAATATATTTGTTTAAATTATTAACATAAACACCAACATCTTTGTCTTCACGAAGATCACATTTTCCTTTAGATCTTGTTCCTAACAAATCATGAATTTCTTCCTGGTATATTTCCAAATATGAAGAAAACACTAAATATTGCTTATTATTTGATTGTTCAATAGTTTGAAAAATCTGTTCAAAAGTTCTGGGTATTATTCCACGATTTTCTTGTTCAGATAAAGGAAGTTTTTCATCTCGGATTCCTTCCATTGTAAATGTTTTACCAGTTCCAGTTTGTCCATACGCAAAAATAGTAGCATTAAATCCATTCAAAATAGATTCAATGAGTGGATGGACCATCTTATTATAAAGTTCTTCTTGAGTGGAATTCCAATCAAAAACAGAATCAAATGTAAACTGTTTGTACTCAGAATCATCATTTTTGGGAACAGCAACAGCAACAGAATTTTCATCTTTGGATATTTTCACAACTTCTGTATATCCATTAGACACTTCTTTAGAACTCATCGGTCTACATCTCACAATCACTTGGATATTTTCTTTTTTTGTTTTAGCTGAAGGCTGGCGACCAATTCGTTTTGTTGATGTTTCCATTGCACAGTGGTTTGGTGATAGCGGTGTAATATTTTATGTATGAGCAAGACTGACAGACAGGAATAGTTAATATTTTAACGAAGTCGAATTAACACCTGAAAAAAAACATTAAAGCACATTCCTGTCACAGTAGAACATTAATATTATGTAGGATATTTAGGCAAAGCGACAGATGTTGTTCATAAAGAACACACAAGAAGACATAAAAATATTATTGTATGAAAATTAGACACAAAACTGTCTACGCACTACAACACAAGCAAAGCGACACACTTACTTGTCCCAGTTAGAGTCCCATTTCGTTTCCTTGTTCTCGAATATTTTATAGTACCTCTGTTCTACTTCTTTATTTACCAGGTCTTGAGTTTTATTTAATTCTAGAAACGAGTACACTGCAAAACCACTGACAGCACCAACACTCGTGGACAGCGCTAATGTGCTAAAGAAATGTTTGTTGAGATATCTCGCCATGTGATTTGCAATGAAAAATATATACAAAAATACGTATCACTATATATAAAGGTATTCTAAACAGGTCGTCCTAATAAGGAACTATTACACGAGAACACAAGCACAACGAGAAACGATGCCCATTAATTATATATATTCATAGATGGTATGACTATAATATAGTTAGTTATTATACTATAACGCACTCGTCTTGTCTAGTGAATATTATATATTTGAATAATGATTAATGATTGAGTTATTGAGTAGTAAATTCTAAAAAGTAATCAGTAGTCACCAAACATATAACAATATCATGTATTAAATATTAATAAACCATATGGCATAATCGAAATATCGAAAACCGTATAGTTATTTACCGATATGGCGATATACAATTAATAAGCGATAACCGATTGGCGATTACCAGAAACCGAAATGACTCATAATTTTATAACATATATATATACATATATATATATATATGGTCATATATCTTTCCACCACGACCATAGTTTAAAATATTATATTTTAAACTTCGACCTAGGTCAATGACTACATCTTATCTTTTTTCGGTTATCTATTATCACTACTTCACCGCTCAATCAAGGTTAGGTTTGTTATCCGATAAAAACATGTTTTGATTGTTTTGAACTTTTAAATTTCGTATTTGAAGTTTAAACACTTTAAACTTTAAACGTTTTGATCCCGACTCGTGACTCGTAAGAGGCAACTAAAGAGTGTGAATTCCTGGCAACAATAATAATCCCGTTTACTTTCTTGATATATTGTCCATAACCGTACAATCGTAAGTTTACACTAACATGATTTATTTTAAATGCATAATCCCACCGTTCTAACTTTATAGGTACATCATAAACGTTGTAGGCATAAGCTTCAGTACCTATTGCATCGTCATTTTAAATTATATTAAAATTAAACTTTACAATTTAATTTTCAGATGTCTGTAGATTCTGATTCTGACCACAGTTTTGGTGACTGGGTGGAAAGTGGACCAGATATGGTAAAATGTCTGTTCTGTGAGCTATTATATGATGATGTTCTAGAAGCTATAGTTCACTGTGCTAAGGACCATAGGTTTGATTTATCATTGGCAAAACGTAAGTATACCATGGATTTTTATTCTTATATCAAATGCATCAACTACACAAGAACTCAGATACAAGAAGATGAAAATTTTAATCCTAGTATGCTATTTGAAGTTGACACTCAACCATGGAATGATGATAAATACTTAACTCCAGTTTTAAAAGATGATCCTTGGCTAATGATTGGTAAGACATTATTAATTTATACTTAAACTAAATCAATGGCATAACAAACAATTATTTTAGAGGTGATTGTCTCCCTGAGATTTTTTTAAATAAAAGAGTAGGTAATGATTAGTGGGCACTCTTTAATTTTAATATTATATTACCATGCATTAATTATATAAATTTATGTTAATCATTCTCCCCCTCCCCACTATTTGTTGCATCTTTAATGGTGGTTGAATCCTTGATATATTTTTGTTTGCCTCTGAAAACGTTCAGTTCATCATACTACTGAATTAAATTATTAAATCTATTGATAAACAACAGTACTGTAGTCTATTAGATAGAATATAATCATTTGAGAACTACTCATAATACAATTTTTTTTTTTCAATTTTATTAAAATTAAATATTTATAAATTAATATTAATTGCATAATATAGTTATTCTAGTTATTTTAATAAATTATTCTAACTGATTTTAAATTTCTATTTATAAATTTTGCTATGTTTAATATATTTCAATACCATATTAGTAATTGTTTAATTTATTTTATTTGTATTATTCAGATATTGATGATGTAATTGAAGATGATAAAGAATCAGAATCTGGATATACTGTCAATTTTGAAAATAATCAATTTACATTGTCTTCTGAACATTTTAGCCATATACAAAATAAAATTCAAACAGTTACAAAACAAGTAAGAACATTAACTATTCTATTCATTTTAATTATTTTTATTAAAATAATATTATATGCAATATTTTCAGCTAGAATTAAAAGAAAAAGAACTTGCTGATGCATACAGTCAAATGCTTCAAATGAAAGATACTTTAACAAAAGTTTTGTCTGCTCGGCCAAATGATTCCATTAACACAGCATCTACTTTAAACTTAGAAGATGATCATGGCTATTTTGGTTCATATTCATCTGTTGACATTCACTATGAAATGCTTAAAGTAAAGAATTGATTACCTATTTATAGGACACAGCAGAAATTAAACTATGCAGAAACTCAATTCATTCACTAAAATAGCTTAATTCCCATAAATATTTGTTTGAAAATTTATTGAGTCTAATAACTTACCTTCTATGGAATAGTTAAAGCATATAAATTAATTTTGTATCATGATAACATTAATGTAGATATTTTTAAATTTTTTTAATCAATAATAATCTAAGTCAAATTTTCTAAATAGAATGACAAGCAATGAATGTTTATTAAATAAATGAATCATTTTCAGGATAAAGTACGAACAGAAAGTTATTGCTCTGCGATATTACTAAATGCGCCTTCATTTAATGGCAAAACTGTATTAGATTTAGGCACAGGAAGTGGAATACTATCCATGTTTATGGCCAAAGCACAAGCAGCTAAGATTTTTGCTGTTGATGAAGCTGATATACTATACAATGCTATGGACAATTTCCAGTATAAATCTTTAATATTCTTGTTAAAATAATACTCAATGAATGATAAGATATTATGTTAAATTTTCAGAGAAAATGGATTTAATGACGTGATTGTGCCAATTAAAGGAAGAATTGAAGATGTTAGTTTACCTGTTGAAAAAGTTGATGCCATCGTTTCAGAATGGATGGGATATTTTTTGTTATTTGAATCAATGTTAGATAGTTTGATATTTGCCCGTGACAAGTATTTAAATAAAACTGGAATTATGTTGCCAAATGAATGTAACCTATTTATCTGTGGTGTGAGTGATATGGGTGAGAATAAATAATTATTAAATTTTAGTATTTATCATATATGATAATTAAAATTGTTTTATATTTACTTGTAATTTTGTTAAATACATTTTTTTTTTTTTTTAACAATTTACAGATCGATATGATGAAGTATTAGGATTTTGGTCAGATGTATATGGTTTTCGTATGCCGTCCTTAAGAACAGAAACCTTAAATAAAGCACAAGTTGAAATCGTACCTGTTGACCGAATTGTTACTGAAGAATGTAAACTTTGCACTTTTGACATGTACACATGTGATACTAATTCTACTAATTTTAAAGTAGAATTTAAACTTAATATAAAAAAAACATGCTCAATGACTAGTATAGTTGGATACTTTGATTCAAGATTTGATAATGATAATACAGTAATTTTATCAACAGCGCCAAATTGTCCGCCCACTCATTGGAAACAAACAGTATTTCTTCTACATGATCCAATTGATGTGAATGAAGGTAATTTTTTCAGTTCTTAGGTAGAGACTTATTGATTATAATAAACCAATGTGTTGGTTTGTAAGAATAGAAGTTTATTAACTTTAATATTCACCATACAATTATTTACTATTTAAAATAAGTGATAGAACATAAAAAATAAATATACTAAACTTAAATCAAACTTTAAATTTTAATTTTTGAGCAACTAATATCAACTTAATACTCATTTATATTGTATAATAAATATTTTTCTGTGGCACTTTGGCTGCTACCAGTCGCAGAATGTGACTGGGAGTAAGTAACGGCCACAACTACTAGCTCCTGAATTGGTTACCACCCGGGTTCATAGTGATTAAAAACCTTGCCACACATGTTTGCTATCAACCGTAACAATCGTAAAAAACAATCTACTTTACCAACCTTACCCATTCCACAGTCCATAACTCCTACAACAGCTAATGGCCCCATTCACCGGGCTTAAGTTCAATTAAAAATAAAAATATATATTTTACTATTTTTTTTTTATTAATAAATTATTATTATTTTTGTCTTGATGACATAACTAAACTAAAACTTAAAATAATAATAGTATTGCAATGAGCTTAAAAAAATATATAAACTTAAACACACAAATTATACATTTATAAAATTATTTATTAATATGTTAAATATTTTCTAAAGTAAGATAATGTAGAAAATTAAACAATGAAAATTTTGTAATTTAAATTATGATTATTATTAATTGTAATTTAGCTTTCAATAACATCATTACTACAATACTTACAATATACGACTATTAGTGATTAATTATTATATAATTAATATTTGAGATGACTCAAAAAAATAAACCTACTAATAATGCATATTGTAATTTAATTTTTAGGTGATCTACTTGTTGGAGAATTCCAGTGTTCCAGAAATATAAAACAAGTAAGATCTTTAATTGTCACAATCACTATAAATAATAAAACTTATACTTATAATGTTTCTTAAGAATTTGTAATTTGTTTTGTTAACATACATATTATTGAGCAAAATCTAAGGCATATTTTTTGTTAAGCCAATAAGTTATTAAGTATATAATATTTTAAAAATATAAACTTTACAATCTAAAATTTATTATTTATTTGTATTTCCTTGGGATATTCTTGTTTGTCACTTGAAGAACTGACTTTTGCTGTTATCTATACATATTTTGTTTGAATTTTCTATGTTCATTCGCAAGAAAACCACTCCTGTTAGAATTTTCAAATAATTAATTTAATTTAACAAACCACAAGTTTATGTATTTAATTGAAGCTTATGAATAATTATTTTAAAGATAATATAGTTAATTGTTTATAATAAGTATAAAGCTTAAAAATGCTTCAAAATTAATTTTATGTTACCTGAAGGAATAACTCGAACTTTAACTGGATCATTTGGTTTATAAATACAAGAGGTTGGATTTTTTTCTTTTCCAAAAAGATTCTATAATTGTATAGCATAATCAGATTATTATAATGTTAACAACTAATATAAAAATTAATTATAACTTAGAAATAAATAAAAATATTTAACTCACAATAATTGAATAACCATTAGGGTTTTTTAGACCTAAATCCTCTAAAGTTATATTGTACGGATAAGGAGCACCATCAACACGACGACTTACAAATGCTACAGCATATGAATGGTATCCGTCATTAAAAGGTTCAACTGGTCTAGTCCAAATATCAATACCCTTATCCTAATGAAATACAATAAGTTACTATAACTAATGGTATTTATAAAAAATATAATTTAAAGTTAAACATACCCTAAACACTCTAGTGCCTTGTATGCCAAGTTTATCTTGATTAACTTCAATTACTTCTTTATTTTGTAAAATTTCTTTAAATTGTGGGTGTACTTCTGTTAATTTATTTGACATCAGTAATGGAGCAGCCAGTATTGCCCAAATGGCCATTTGTGTTTTACTTTGATCATATGTTAATCCAAAGTTACCAATTAAAAGCTAAAAAAAATATTAAAAAATGAATTTTTTTTTATTAGATACATATATTTAAAAATTTATCTACCATGTCTGGATCATTCCAGTGTCCAGGTCCAGCATATTTTGCCCAAAATTCTTGTTTTTGTGCAAAATAATCTGCTATTTTGATCATACTTTCCCATGAGTCATCAATATCATCGTAGTTACGCCAAAGATTACAGTGTTTAGCCATTGATGCATAGTCAATCTGTTGGTAAAATTTACGATTTTTAATTTATAGTCAACAAGGTTAAATATGTATGCATTGAAATACTTACTAACATTCCCTTTTCTTCTTGATAAGCTGGCCAACTACAAGAATATACCATTGGTCTTCCAGTATTATTTAAAAGCCTTCCAAATTCAGGATAGCCTAAATGAATACTTATTTAATTAAAAACATAATCATTTATTATTTCAATGTTTTTCATCATTACCTTTATCCATGTGTCTAACGTTTGAATAACATCCATCTAGTTTGACATAGTCAACTTCCCATTCTGCAAATGTATTAGCGTCCACCTCTTCATACCCCAATACTCCAGGATATCCTGCACATGTTTTAGTACCCCAGTCTTCATATAATCCAAACTTAAGACCTTTAGAATGTACCTATTAATAATAGTCATAATTATTAAAATGTAAATACACCATTTGTTTTCTTTCTAATTCATATAACCATGCCCGCCCAACATGTCCAGTATATGTTTAGTAGAATCATTCTTCTATTAGATTTAATATTAGAGTGAATTGACATATCATAATTCTAAAATTTAAATCAATTTTAAATTTTGAAGGGTAGAAATGCTAAGTTTTACAATTTCAAATACTCGTATATCAAAAAAATTAAAATGTTTATTTCAAACATCAATAATGTTCTTAACTTATGATTATTGATAATATTTAAGCTTAATGTGCTTGTTAAATTCAAGTGCAAAAGAAAGCATTTAAGAATATCTGAATTACTCTACATAAGTATTATTCAAATATAGGTCAATTGCTACCCATCGGTTTTTAGGGATAGTAAATAATCATTCCTAGGGTTAGGATGTTTATGACCTTAAAAACACTAAAAAATACATGCAAATATGCACAATAAATATCAAAATATGCCCTTAAAAAAAATTAAATGTCTTTTTAAAATTAGTTTATTAGGTACTAATCCAAAATCTATTCCTAATCAATTTACAATACTATTTTTATAACTTTAGACTTAAATACAAATACATACAAATATGAGATATTTGAAATTAAAAATATAGGCATCACCACACTATCGCGATCATCGTTCATAAACATGATTATATTGATTAATAAACATATAATTATAGTAAAGATAAATAAGTAATAAAGATAAATTAATAATTTGAACTACATGTTTTTCTCGTTTTCATTAGTTATGAAACCAACAATGCCAATCTATAGGTAAATATTGATGTTTATATTATATTTAAGTTAATTTTTGGACAAAATATGCATTTATTTACAATTTTTTGGTAGAATATGCATTTATTCATAAAAATTCCTAAATATGCAAAATAAAATTGAATATATCTGATTCTATGCCATACAAAACAAATTTATTACTGGGTTTGCAATGTGTACGACTAAAAGAAAAAATATGCAAAAGTCATAAACATCCTAACCCTAATAATTACTATCTGCATATTTTGGTCAATTTCTACCAATAATACATTATAATATGAAAAAAATGTGGCTTTACGTTTAACTTTTTTTTAAATTCCAGTAAGATCAAGTTGAGGAGTCTCATTATATTTTCAAGTCTTAGATGTATTTAAATTAAATATTTATCAATTTTGATGTCGAAAACTGATTTAAATGTCTTAAATCTTGATCTAATATCTACTTTAGGTCTTATGAACAACTTTTTCCATTTTTTTTATCTGTAAAAGTGTAATTAGTTGTTAATTATACAAATTAATCAAATTATTTGATAAATAAAATGGTTTAAAAGTTGTTAGTATAGAATCTAAATAAGACAAGATAAGAAACCAAACTTTGTTTTCAAAGTCCTTATTGCATATTATTACACATAAATCAGTATTGAGTGGGTACATTGGAATAAAAATTTATCTTTTTAGTATAAAAATAATTCCAATTCAATTTTCAGTGTGTTATTACTGAGTGGCAAATATCCTATTATTCTTTGAGTAACAATTTAGCGAATTCTGTATTACTCACATAGTCTGATAAAGCTTTAATACCACTTGGAAATCTTTTTTTATCGGCTTCTAATTTTCCATCTGCTGATCTATTCTTGGACAACCAACAGTCGTCCACTATGACATAATTATAACCCAATTTAGAGTAGCCTTCGCTAACTAATAAATCTGCTGCTCTCATAAACAATTGTTCACTGAAAAATATGCAAAACAATTATTTAATAAAAAATGAAAAATAATTTTAATACAAGTTTGATCTAAACTGTAAATATACATGTTATGAATATTCAATGCTGGAAATCTATTATTTTTTTTAATATTCATAATTTAATTTTTTTTTTTTTTAAGCGTTCTACACTATATTAGTTTATAAAAATGTAAATAATCCTGTAAAAAAATTAAAAATTACCATCATGAAAAGTTGTTACTTAATAACATGTATTTTTTCAAAACTGAATTGATATGTATAATATATAAATTCTAATTATTTTTTTTTAACTCACAAAAATCGATGTATAAAACAGACTAGATAGTTTAAACAAATTACACCGCCCCTATTTACCATCCCATTTAATTTTGACGATTTTTATACTGACTTGACACACTCGTCGGGGTACGTTTCGCAATCTGTGATGCACCTGTAACGTTGCCATGCAAGCCATCCCATCGGTGGCGTGAGCGCAAGCCCATTGTCGAGCCCGTTGATCCCTCGTATCGCCACGATGATCAAACAGCAAGCCCATCGCAGCGCTGCGGTGACAGTCATTTCGACGGACGCCTTTTTTACCTTTATACCATGTTCATAATATAATGAAGCGAAAACATTTTTTTTGTTATTTTTTTCCTAGATTTTTTGTTTATAAAAAAATATGACTTACGTGTTCCTTGGTTACCGTTGTAGCGTCGTCGGATCGACTCGCATCAAAAATGTACAGCTACAGTGTACGTCCAACCTTATTTATAACTAGACGTCCAGCACGTTTACAACGATTGTGAACTATACATTATAATACACTATTGTTGTTCAATTATTATTTCGACAAGGGGGCGGCAGGTGTACACTATATGTGTACAATACTCGTTATAGCACTATACCTACTCAAGTCCCACCGGATTAGACCGGTTTTTTCAACACACTAGTTGGTATCTTTGGCTTAGGAGACATTTTAAATGTTATGTAAAAGTAAAACTTATCGCGGCGCGTTCTCGCATAATAAAATATCTATACAATATTTCGAAATTTCCACAATGAAACTGAAACCAGGACATCAATACACACGCAGAGAATCCTGTGCTTCGTACAGTATATAAATGATGAAACCTCGGAAACGTTGGATTTTTATTAAATAATATTTGACATGTCAAAAAAATAAAATTTATTTAATATCGAATGTCATCTTATCATGTAGAAAATAATGTTAATATTATTTTCCATTTTTTTTCAGTTAATAAACATTATTTAACATTTATCATCAGTTATCTTGTATAGTAATATAGTACCTATACGAAAATAATATTAAATATTGATCAAATATAAAGTTCAAAGTTCTTTAAAAAGTTTTAATTGTTATAAGTTAAAACGTTGTAGATTATGTTTTTGTATAAAATTTAAATTCTATGTATAATTTTAAAATACCTACTCAATTATACAGTATGCCGGTACCTATCAACTTTATCAATACTTAAATACCTATCTTTAAAAACGGACAAAATAGAAGAGATGATGTTTTAATATACACCTCTGGGCTACGTCAATGCGTAGATACAATATTGAATCGATGATTTCTGCCATTTTATTTATTGATTTAAATAAAATCGATCGTTATTCATTCCATTATTTTTATTTGTATATTTGGTTGGTACCTATATTGTGTTTGTAATGTTTGTATCATAATTCAGTATTCACTTCCTAGTTTTTAATTAAATCATTCTATAACCATATTATAATATATTTTTAATAATATACCTAGGAGCTCAGCGCACATTTCAAATGATGAGTTGTGTCACTTTTCAAAACCACTTAAAAATATAATTCTTTACAAATACAATTATGTGCAATATATTATGAGTTATGACTATAAGTGTAATAGATGAGTTGACAATGGATAAATATGAGTAAACCACGCTGCGGCGAATATTAACTAGGTAACGACAAATAACAACAATAATATTTAATAATAAATTACTTTCACTATTGAATGGTTTTATTATTTTTATACATCGTAAGAAATTAGCAAATTATTATTTAAAAAAAAAAAAAAAAACATTCGTTCATAATTACTAAATATCGAACTCCAACCGGTCTGACATCAAAAAATATTAAATCGTTTGAAAACTTAAGGAACGTATATGTATGACAAGCTATATAATAATTTTTTTCTTTCGACATGATAATTCGTACGCAGCATAAATTTTTTACTTGAATACTACTTAATTAGATATTAGAACCGTTTTGAATGCAGAATATAAATACCTAAGCCATTGAATTTTCAGGTTAATAATTATTCAGACCGCTTATATATTGTCATTACTCACTCGTACATGTTTTCTGTAAAACTATCAATTTTTTAAAAATATTTAATTATCGTGGTACATTTATTATACTATATTTCATTATACATTACACTGTTTTCAAGTTTTTTTCATTAACACCGTGATGAAATAAGTTATAACATGATTACTATAAAGTGTTGATTACGAAAAATAGTTTTTGACTCGTCCTAAAGTCAGTGATAACTGATAAATTATAGTATGGACTACTGTAGCGTTATTATTAAATAGGTTTTCGACATAATTATCGTGCAATATCGATAATTTACTAAGTAATAAATTTAATATCACATGGTACACACATAGATATCGAACGTTCAAAGCTACCAATCTGGTCGCCAAATATTATATTGTACTAAAAATATGGTGGTCGATGATGCAAGTATTTTGTATATATTATAATAATTATTTACAATTTATGTTATAATAATTGAAGTACACATTATACAAATATAATATATTGTAATAAATCAGTTATTGTATACGTTTCTATTGAAAATATACTTTCTAACATTTTAGCTTTGAGGATTAATAAATAAGGGTCGTAGTGCTTACACAATCAACCCAACATCTAGAACTGAATTTAGCACTTTGATGGCCTTGGTCAAAAAAGGTTAAGGACCCTTTAATTTAAAACATTTTTATTTCGGACAATCGTAAATTTCGCTGATTAACAGGTAGCGATTTTAGGGTTGGATTTATGACACGTAAACTCTACGATAGTAAAATCACTAAAATCCACAGATTACAGCCATTTTTAATATAGCTATACGTCAACTGTGAACTAGCCGTTTTATCTAAACGACATTTTAACGACTTCAGATAAATATCATATATCTACTCATTCTCAAAACGAATGCGTTCGATAAGATACTTTTAAAGGCACATATTAGCTCGTCTGTTGATTTCAAGATGAACATAATGAAAATAATCAGCAGACGTAGCAAAGTTTTGATTTGTTTAAATAATTTTAAGTTTTGCAATTAAATAATTACGATAAAAAATTACGATGTGAAAACAAAAGGTTTTTCATCGTTTTAATGACGATTAATTCTGGAAATAAACAATAATTTCAACAAGCACTGCATAATCACAAAGCGTTAACCGAAAATACATTTTAACAGCAAGTATTACATATTGGTGGAAAACAAAAAGCGACTGAGGATAATTGTAAAGCACCAAGAAAAATATATAAGCTTACATAGGATGAAAGTAATAGTAAATAGTTAAGTACAGGCATATATATACTATATATACTCAATGGTACAGGTTAGAGAAGTAAATTATGTTAAGAAAATGTATATAATGCTAGGAAAAAGATAATGTCAAAAATACGTTAAAGTTCCTTGAACGTTCAGGATTCATTAAATAAATCTTAATGTATATGACAAATAGAAACGGAAATTGTCTTTAATATAATAATAAAGAAAAGAGTGTATTATTATATTCTGTTGTAAAATAAACTTTGAAGCTGTGTGTAAAGCAGTAATTGTTTACATGGACGGAACATTTGAGTATTGCATCAAGTATTTTTTACAACTTTTTACTATACATGGATACCTTAACGACTATTACTCTCCGTTGTGTTTTTACGTATTCAAAGATATAAACACGTGTCCTCTAATATTGATTGCTTTAAATGAGTTAATAAAATATGCTCTTGCTATAGTTTTTTTGGACTCCGAAGATGTTTCTAATGTTGTTGCAATAGAATTAATGTCTATAAAGCTCCAAAACTTGGAACATACACAATTTACAGGTAAACAAATTATATGTTAAACATTTATATCAATTATATCACAGAAGAAACATATTATTTTCATCAAATATTTAGGCGTAATGTAGCGCTGAATTTAATTTAACTATAAATGCACGCGAGTCGTTTCACTCACACTTAGCTCAATTCTATGAAAATACACCTCCAAATACACATCACTTTACAAAAGCTATATTAGATATTCAATCATTCACTTACCTACATTAAATTAAATAGCACTAAATATTACTATTAACTAGCCGTTTATTATTGATAATTAGTAATTATATATAAATATTTTTTATCAATTTAAATTTGTATTAAAAAAGATGAAGTATCTAAATATAATATGTATAAATAATAAATTTGCTCATAAATGATATAAGTACTTATTACTACCTACATACTGTTAATTTTATTTCAGGTGGAAAAAAACCAGTGTAATTTACATATTTTTTCAGGTAGTAAAAATGTACCGGCAGAATTTACACGTGGCCTTTATTCCTTATTCCTTTAATTTATCTTTGTGATTTACAGTACAATAATTTAAAAAATCACATCTACTCGTGGTTTTATTTCTTCTACATTATAATCATAAAAAAATAATGTGAGGTCTGAGTAATTGCCCTTAATACTCTCGGTCAAATACGACACTGCCAACACCTATCTTTGCACTTTTTTTCTAAATTGAATAATACAAAAAATTAGAGTTTCAATACATTGATAGTTACGCTTACGCCGTAAGACACTTTTAAATAATATTGCTATAGCATTACCTACTCACAAACCAACTAAAAATGGATAGTTATAAGCAATACTGATATAAAAATCCATGAATATAAATGTAAAACAACAGACTTATGTTCCTGTAAATCAGTATTATTGTAGTTAAAAACCATAAATATTTAGGTATAGAAATGTGTTCCAACATGAAATTAAAAATTTAAATAAATTCTATGTTTAGCAAATTAAGAAAAATGATATACATATAATAAAACAATTAGGAGAAATACTCCCAATGAAGGAAATTAGAAATATATACTCAACATTATTTGAATCAGTAATTATGTACGACATATAATAGGGTTAGGAGGGGCATATGATAATGTTCTAGTACAGGATGCAGCTTCAAAAATGTCATAACTCAATTATTATGAGGTTGCGAGTAAAAAAGATTGGAGATTTCCAACGACAAAACTATGCAAAGATTTTAACGTCCTTAATTTAAACAACTTATAAAAAAACTTTAAAAAAAACATAACCAATTATCTCTTGTTAACCATAAAGTTAACACTAGACACGCAGCTAATAACTTTTCTTTAGACTGGCCAAAAAATACCATTTCTTGGGAACTCAGATATTATAAAACTTAATGCCTATTTATATAGCTATAATAGGCCTCTACCTGCTTTTTAAAAATATCTTGTTCATTGGCTCCAACATGAATATACTGCGAGTAAAATTTAAAGTATATTTTAAATATGCAATATTTTACTAAGAATACCTACTGTACTCAGATAATCTTGAGCCTCTATACACGAGTGAGGCCCATCTTTCCGTGTGTTGTGGGACCTGACAAGTTCTTCCGGATTTTACCCTGGAGACACTTCGCCCCTTTATATGGCCGCAAAGTTACCTCCTCCGAGTGAAAGACCAGGGTGAGCTCCCGGGAGCCAGGCATCTCGAAAGCCCGCCCGAGACGCCACCTCACCTTAGGCGTCATAACGAGCTGCTCTGCGACCAGGGCCCGACGGATGCCATCCAAATCAAGTCCCTTCTACTAAGGCGAACGAGTGAGGCCCAGTAATCTTTTTGATTTCAAATAAAAATAAAAATAGCAATTGTATTTTCAATGATACTATGATATACAAACTTTTTTTAATTACAGAATTATAGTCCCTATACTACACAAAGTGATATTGAAAATTGTCAGATTAAATAGCAAATATATGGTATAGTTCACCTAAAATAATTATAAATAAATTATTTATTTTTAAATGTTAGATAGCATGTCATTACTATTAAATTTACATTAAGGCTGTAATATTTATATCGTATCATATTGGTGATAATGATTATAAACGATATATATCAATCGATATTAGAATGTATAACTGTATAAGACTATAAAATAAACGTATAGATTATATAAGTAAAAGCTACTGCTATAGGATACAGGCGATACAGCAATGCTAGACCATAAACCAATAATTTAGGCATACAGTTTATAATAATTTCAATCATTTTCACTGCCTGCCAATATGTTAAAAAAAAAGTCCAAGGATCGAATAACTGATACCAAATTACACCCAAATTTCTATCCCACTGGCCGAGTTGGTTCACGTTTCTGCTTAATTCTTTAACCAATCTAATATTTATAAAATATTTGAAATTTTTAATTTTAAACAACTTTTCGCTCTCACTTTAACGGTTACCAACGCACATTTTTAACCATACTTATTTTTAATTCTAAGTTGACAATCCTAAGCCTGTAAAAATGGGGAAAAAATAGGTATAAGTGCACTAATTTGACCAGTAGTGAAACACATCACAAATTTAAGTAGGATCCAATTTGATTTGAAGGGAATAAATTTAGTTAAAGCACTATAATTTATGATTCTCGTTTTATCGTGTCCTCGTTAAAAAAACGTAAAAATCATACATCATTAGTTATTTCACTCCCTTAATGCAACCGATCGTCATTTATAATTAATATATGTATTTTACAAATTCACAACATAATATGTTTTATAACTTTTTTTTTTTTGTAATATAGTTTTCAATTAATTAGTTTTTCTTTACAATGCTAGCCACCGATGAGTAAACCGACTTCACTCTTGTGAAACTTGAACGGCAAACGTGCACTATATGTCAATCTATAACTTAAAAGCATAAAGTATTCAGTTATTTGCGTAGTTTTTATATAGATAAATATATTTTTTAATTTATTGTTTATGTTAACACCGAAGTAAATTTTTATTGCAAGTATTATTATTAAACAATAACTATGTGTTGTTATATTGAAATAAGCCAACATTGTGTAATTGATAAGTCGTATTGGTGAACATTAAAAATTATTTCACGTGCAGAAAAAAAATTAATTTTTCGAGATCTTGAATTTATCACACATTACACACATGACACATACACGTGCCAACAATTTCAACCTCTTGAATAAATCACAACATTTACAACATTTATTATTGAGATTTTTGTAATAATATTATAGTTAAGTCGTAAGTACACAACACGTTTATCAAGCGTATTGAAAGTTTTTTAATATTTATTCTATATAACGTTTATATAAACGTATATCGTTTATAGTTTTATACGAAACATTATTACTATTCTAATAATAACATATAAAGTTATGAATTATAACAAGTAAACTATAATGGTTTTTTGCTTTTTTTCAATAGATTTATGTAAATGTAATGGTTTTGTTGAGTGCGCTATTGTAAATATCGTCCTCCAATTTGATCTTAATAATGTCGAATCGTAAGAACACAACACCTATTTTAAATAACACACATAATAATAAATATGAATATACTACATACTATTATTGCATCAATACAAGAACGTATAAGTAAAATAATTATTTTAGACTAATATATATGATTTATAGATTATTATTTTACCTGTCGGAATAATCCGTACGTTGACCACAGTCTTTGGCAAGGCGTAGTGTTTGATACTATTTGAGGTAGGCTTATCAAACAAATTCTGTAACGAGTTAATAATAAAATAATCAAATGAGAATAAAAGTTTACAAAAACTATAAACTATAGGCCATAAGGGTAAACATAATTTATACACTCAATACTGAGCGGATAAGTAGTTATTAATGTTATTATAATATATTAAATATTCAAGTATATAATAATTATGTAATGTACCTACTATTTAGGCATATACTTATTTACAAGGTTATTCTTATATAAGTACCTATATTTATTTTCATTTTTCTCAGTGTTTAGAAATTTTAAAAGATTTAAAGAACCACCTATGTAGACCTTCATTTTCAATTAAAACGCGTATGTTATAATTGTAATATACGTTGTACTCATACACACACTGTATATATTAGAACTGTTCAATTATTTCAATTAATCGATTAGCTTCATTAAGCTATTTCAACAATTGATTTCTAAATAAACTTTTATCGATAAAAATCTTTGAATAATCGAAATTTTCGATTAATTCATACTTTTTACAATCAAATTACGTATTATGATAATTGAACAGCCTCACTATATACTATAGTACTATGTACTATACTAGTTCTTATAAGGCACGGAATGCTAATTCATTAATTCTATTACCTTAATTGTGTAACCGATGTGATGATTAAGTCCTAAGTCTTTCAAAGTTATTTTGTACGGGAAAGGAGCGCCATCCTCGCGACGACTCGCAAACGCCACCGCGTAAGAATAATTTCCGTGATGAACTGGTTCGATTGGTCGAGTCCAAATTTCAATACTCCTATCCTGAAATACGGTATTTAACAACAAGCGGAAAACGTTAGATGAGGAATAACTGTGCATTTTATCTTAGAACTTAAAATAATAATACTTAAAGATCAATTAGCCAGTGCTCGTCGTTGATCTAGAACTTTACGTGGCCGGTAAACGGACATTACAGAACCAGCGAAAAAACGTAATACGCGGATAAGTGGGTATATATTTACGTATTACGTATAGCATATTTATATTTATACCGTAAAAGTACTTACCCTAAACACTCGCATGCCTTGTATTCCTAAGGCGTCTTGATTGATTTTGATGACTTCAGCGTTTTGCAAAATTTCTTTGAACTCTGGGCGTACAGCGGACAATTTATTGGACATGAGCAGTGGAGCGGCCAATATGGCCCAAATGGCCATTTGCGATTTGCTCTGGTCGATTGTCAAACCAAAATTTCCGATCAGGAGCTAAAAGGAAGCATGTATGATATATCACACTGGGAACTGATAATAAAATATTTAAAATATACGAGTACATTTTATACTATTTAGAGACATATGTACATATTTATATATTATATAAACAGAGTTTTTTCATTACTGTATAATTATATTAACGATGTGTAGTATTATAATGTATAATAATATGTACTTGCCATGTCTGGATCGTTCCAGTGGCCAGGTCCTGCATACTGCGCCCAGAACTCTTGTTTCAGTGCGAAGTAATCAATGATGGATGTTACACTACTCCACGAGTCGTCAATGTCTCCGTAGTTACGCCACAGGTTGCAGTGTTTAGCCATCAACGCGTAATTGATCTACATTTAATGAGATTTACAATTGAAGAATGGCTATAAATTTATCACATGATGATATAAAAAAATACAAAACAACATAAAATAATTGTTTGCAGTCGAAGTTGTCGTTTCATGCATTAAATATTCAATAAATTTAACCTACTAAATAATTTTTTATCAACAATTATAAAATATCAAAAATTGTTCAAGAATTTAAATATTTATTTTCAAATGAATATCTAATATCATAAAATTTTGAATTTTAAAAGATATAAAAAATTGATTTGGCTTTCCCGTATAAAATGTTGTTATGTATAAATATAAATAATGAATAAATAAATATATATTAAAGAACTTATAAAAAGCATTTATTAAATTTTCAAACAGAAATGATTATAAATTTTAAACTACAAAATAATTTGCTAATTTTCATGATTTTTATGAATTTTAATAAAATTTTAACTTAAAATACTTAAAAAAAATCTTGTGACTAAATGTTTGATATTTTTTAGTTGAGAAAATTATCAATTTATGGGGATTACATTTTTAAGCATTTCTATCCTGCTAATTATCAATATTTCTAGAAAAAAGTCATTAAAATTAAAAACTTATCATGTCTATAATAGCTCAAAAATATTCGATATATTTAAAATATTTTATTATAATATAATGAAAATAGTAATATAAAAATTTGGTGAAAATTTCAAGTATCTATATGATTATTTGTTTTTGAGTTACATTAAAACAACAAAATTAATTTTGTCGAAAATTGGATTTGCGTGAAAATCATCGCTTTCATTTTTATCTGTTTTTCCCGATTGTAAAATTTATTTTTAGGAAATTACTACTTTTGACTCTCCAAAGTACTAACTAGATCCAATTTTATATCAGAAACCAATCCCATTTTATAAAATTTTAATAACAATTTTTACTACTCCAAAAAGTGTTTATAAACATAAAGAAAAAACTTATCATTGTAAAATCAATACATTCATTGCTCTGCTCAAAATCTCAACTATAATAACAATTTACAAGTAATAAGTAGTCGAAAAAAATAAAAATAAAAACTGGATTTGGATAAGTTTTATTTCGGGAAAAATCACAATAATCGATTAAATGTCATAATATGTAAGTATTATTTTGTAAGCAATACATATTACAGGATTTTAAATAAATGTTCAATGCCGTCCAAGTACGGTTTCATCATAAATCAACAAAATGTAGCTACCATATCTATGTTTGATTTTCAAACCATAATGAAGTACTACCGGACACGGGATACTATATTAGATTTTTGAATTAATTTTCATTGCATCAGATTTCCCGAAATAAACCACGCATAACATAAAATGACGGGAAAATAATTTAATAACAACCCTTCAAATTCGATTGTTGTCCTCTTAGTGATCATTGCCTGTTATATATGTTTAGAACAATTTACCGATACACCACATTAAGTATTTTTCCTAACACATTAATAAAATAACATGCCCTTAAAAATACAATACTTATTAAAATATCTTATTATATAATATTGTATTAATAATTAATAATTGTATTGCATATAGATATATAGTCTTATCCATACATCTCAACATTTAATAATCACAACTTATAATAATTTTCAATAATCATATTTACCCGCATTCTCTTGTCTTCTTGATATGCCGGCCAGCTACATGAGTACACCATTGGCCTTCCTGTGTTATTTAGATGTTTTCCGAATTCGACGTAACCTGTGAACATATATTATACTATAGTTATTCATTCGTCATTCAAATACCGAAATTTTAAAATTGTTATTTATAAAATAAATTAAAAGAGTGGTAGTTGTATAATAAGTTTAACAAATACAAATAAGTTAAACAAAAATTGATGTTTAAATGACTGCCTGTAAGTAATCTTACCCCTATCCATATCCCTGACGTTCGAATAACATCCGTCTAATTTTACGTAATCAACTTCCCATTCGGCAAACTGTTTGGCGTCCATTTCTTCGCTGCCCAGCACGCCCGGATAACCGGCACAAGTTTTCTCTCCCCAGTTTTGATACAAACCAAATTTCAAACCTTTTGAGTGCACCTATATCAGTGTGAATAAACAATAGCATTTTAACTATTAAGTATAGTAACATCACTATACTTTATAATTTATATTTTACTTTAATATTTTATGTATCTAACTTAAACGTTTGATTTTGTACAAATTAATGTTCATAGAATATAGATCAAATAATATATTTATAAAATATTATACTGTATTAACTATCTCCTGACTCCTAACATACACATACCAGTTACCAGTTACCTATCGAAATAAATTTAAAACTTCTTTATAGATTTTCTTTGAGTTAGTATAATGTTTACTTAATGTGTTCCCCACACACGAATTTGTTGTTTTAGTATCAAAGGCAAACATTAGACATTACCTACTCAGAAATTTACGTTCACATTTCAAACATACGTTTATAATTTACATTATATTAGATAGCATATTTATAAAAACATCAAAGAATTTCTTAATTGCAACTTACGTAGTCAGACAGTGCTTTAATACCGCTCGGGAACCTCGTCTTGTCGGCTTCCAACTTTCCGTCGGCTGATCTGTTCTTGGCCAACCAACAGTCGTCTACGATAACGTATTTGTACCCCAAGTCTGCGTAGCCTTCGCTGACCAGTAAATCAGCCACATTCATAAACAGCTTTTCACTAAATATACGTATACACAATATTATAGTTCTTGAACTTAGAACACGAAATTATTATTTCGTTATTATTATTATTATTATTATTATTATTATTATTGTAACGCGAATCTAATCTCAATAGACTTAATAAATTTCTAATACAAAATAAACAATACATTATTTTATTCAAATGGTATGTGAAAATATTTCTCATGTTATTATATAAACCGATATCTAATTGATATTTTATTCATTTTCATATTTATACAATAACGCCAAACTGCAGTTTTAAATAACAGATTTTAATTACCTATCGATATTTTAATTAAAATATTATTAGGTGGTATTAAAAAAGTTATGATTTATCTAGGTTGTATAATAAGTTCACTTATATAGGCTATAAAGCTATAATACGAATATACGTTTTATATAGACATAATAAATATAATTATTAATTGCTAATTATTTATGATTCATTATTTGTAACATATACATATCCAGTGTCGATAAGCGGAAAAACAGCACATTGAACTTAAGAGGACGTCTCATGTGGAGGAACTATTGATCCCGCCGAAACTACCTGTTTAGGAAAAAGGTTTGTATCGATTCCGCCGGCTACTGTTTATAATATCTACACATCGATTTTGTTGGACACTGTTTATGCCCCCCTTGTATATGTATTTTTAAATATATACCAAACTTTTTTAGTTTACGTCACCATAAAAATAAAAAAATGAATTGCACCTTCTATGAATAAATAAATAAAAATTTTATAGTATTTAATTATCCAAATATTTTTATTGTTGTGATAAAATAAATCAACAATAAATATTATTTAATTTTTATGAAAAAAAAAAAAAACAATAATTATTAATATTAATATTTATGTGAATATATATTAAAAAATATTAAAATGTATAGTCTAAATTGTATAAAATGATAATAATATAATTGTATAAATATATAATTAAAATTAAAATGTGTATCCTAATTAATACGTGTATGTGAATATATTAATTACAGTCGATTCCGCTTTATTGGGACACATTGGTTGCGTTTTATTTTGTCCCAATAAAGCGGTTGTCCCAATAATCCGAAATGAAAAAAAAAACATATGAATTTATTGAAAAACTGATTTTTTATGTTTTTATTATTACAAATACATATTAGTTATTACAATAACACAATTATAGAAATTTTTTAATTATACAAAAAGAAAAACATAGTTTTATGTATAACCTAAATATTTATAAAAGTACACACATATATATATTTTTTATTATTTTATCTTATTTAAAAAAATTATGAATATTACTTTGTTTTTTACATTTTAATGTTTGTTGACGAATGTAGTCCGAACAAGTATCCAAAGCACTTATCGGGCTTTCTTCATTTCCTTGTTGAAGAAAAAATAATCTCAATGTTTCCAAAGATTTCTTTGCCTTCTGTAGTCGGTTTGGTGGATCTGGTTCCTCATCCGTGTCTTCATCTGAATTATGTTGATCTTGTATGGATTGAATAATATTACATCATCGGCGTATTCATTTTGGTCATAACATTGTACATTTGAATCCAGTTGTTCAAATTCTACGTTATTTAGCACTCTTACGTTATAATTTTCTTCGGAATTAGGTTCCAACTGTTGATCATTGTTATAACTTTCCTCCAAAAAATCACACTTTCGAAAACAATTTTTTATTGTCTGACTACTTACATCACGCCAGCTGTCTGAAATAAATTGAATTGCTTGTAGGATATTAATTTTTTTACTGATATCTATTGCTGTTGATTTTGATTCAAGTAAATTGTCTTCAATCTTTTCTAAAATGTAATTGACCAGTATTGCTCTATACTTAACCTTTAAATTTTGGATAACACCCATATCTAAAGGCTGAATTAGTGACGTTGTATTAGGTGGTAAGAACTCAAGCTTGATGTTTTTCAAAGATATATTAAGATGGGCAGTACAGTTGTCTAAGACGAGACTTATAGCCTTTTTTGTTTTGTTCAACTCACTATCCCAACGTTGCAACCAATCGGTAAAAATGGCCGAAGTCATCCATGCGTTTTTATTTGCATGATACTCAACCAGTAATTTTTGTAAAGAAATTTTTTGAAAACAACGAGGTTTTTTACTTTTTCCTATCACTAAAAGCTTTTTTTTGTCAGTCCCACTTGCGTTCACACAACACAGTATAGTTAATCTGTCCATAGCTTTTTTTGATCCAGCTATCGATTCGTGTTTAAAACACAGAGAATCATCTGGAGTTGCACGATAGTACAATCCTGTTTCATCTGCGTTATAAATATCATCGAGAGAAAATTTTGCAAGAATCTGTGGTAATTTTGTAAATTTCCATTCATCGGCATACTCTGAATTTGCACTAGCTTTTTCACCATGTGATATTTTAAATTTTATGTCGTGTCGTACTTTCCACCTAGATAACCAACCGTCGGTGGCTTTGAATTCGTCATTACCAAGTTTCCTTGCAAGGTCTTCGGATTTAGCTTTTAATATAGGACCCGACACTTGAACGACCCGACTAGTAGCCAGTGTAAACCATTGTGTAAGTGCCTCGTCTACATCTGCATCTTTACCCTCTCGTTTCCTTTTCCGCGTTGTCACTTGGCTAAGAGCTTGTTCTCGCAAAAACTGTTCTTGTAGTTGAATTCGCGCGATTGTTGATTTTGATACTCCTAAAATTTCCGAAAGACGACGAGTACTACAGCCTGGTGGCTGTAATTTAATTTTGTCTAGAATATCTAATTTTTGCGCAAGCGATAAATCTTTACGTATACGCGACAAATACACTAAATAACATTTAACACACATCACATTTGATCATACGATAAGATAAAATGTATATAATTTAATCTAAAATCGATTACGCGAGTCGTTCGCGATTGTCGGACTATTGATCTATTAATATTTAATATTATACTCGATAAAAATGTCCCAATTATCCGGATTCGCGATCCAGATAAGCGGCGTACTTTTACATTACAAGTATACATTTATTTTTGTAATTTTAGAATTGTCCCGATTAAGCGGTTGTCCTTATTAACCGGTGTCTCTATTAAACGGAATCGACTGTATATTATAATTAATATAATATAAATACATTATATTAATATAATTATATTACATATATTAATGATAATAATAATTGTATAAATCAAAATCAAAATGTATAATCTAATTAATATTATTTAATAATATTAATTAATATGTCTTACACATGTACGACATAGCAAATTTTCGTTCACCGATAAACAGTAACCGGCAGAATTAATATTTGGCGGAATCAATGCCTAAATATTATAGACAGTAGTCGGCGGAATTAATAGCCGGCGAAATCAATATAAAATCGGCGGAATCGATATACGCCCCTCATGTGTTGTCTCTGCCTTATACACGTACGGCATAGTATATTTTTGTTCACCAGTTTCAATAGTGTGCTTTTAGTTTTGATATTAGAGTCAATTGACCTATTATCAAACTTTTAGTTAAGAATATTATCTGTGTTCTCTCGATGGTTTTTTACGATATTTTAATTGTTAAACAATTTATGAGTATGAAAAATATAAATATTTGAAAATGCTCATAACTAATTTAAAAATTAAAATATCGTAAAAACCAACGAGAGAACACAGATAATGTACTTGACTAAAAGTTTAATAATAGATCAATTCACTCTAATATCAAAATTAAAAACACACTATTGAAACTGGTGAACGAAAATTTACTATTTCATACGTGTGTAAAACGGAGACAACGAATGCGAGTGTGGCGTCTTCTTAAGATGAACGTATAAGTAGGTAATGCGTTTTAGTTTTTGTTTTTAGAAAATTCACTGCGCTGTGAGGGTTACGATCAGTTATAAGTATTGCAATTCATTATTCGAGCAAAAAAAAAATAAAATTGTGTTTATCTGCGGCGTCTTTATACAATTTATTTACATACCTGACACATTCGTCGGGATACGTTTCACAGTCTGTGATACACCTGTATCTCTGCCACGCGAGCCATCCCATCGGCGGTGTTAAAGCCAACCCGTTGTCGAGGCCAGTGACCCCGTGCAGCAAGACGGCAAACGCCGCAAACGTCACCGCAACCGAATTCAACATTGTGTCCGGATGCTGTATAATAAATACATTACTTATGTTATACATAATATTCTGTAAAATTATTTTCCTGTTTTCATGAAGTCTGTTTTCCAGTAAATTATAATTTCAGAATAACATTTTTAAAAACTTTATAATTCCAACATTATAAAGCACTCTATTCCATTCTATATATAAAATAGGTAGTTACTTACATTGTACAATATATTATTAATTTTATGCTATGCGAATTCAATAGATATTTTGCATGTATAATTATTTATATTATATAATTAATTTGAAATTGATTTTATTCCATACGGACAACGGGACATATGACGGTACTCAATGGAACTTAATTTAGACAAAATATAATATTATATTATTTAATTACTGATATATTCTGCACTCATAAGTACCAATACCAACACGATCGGATAATTAATTTGCATGATGGAGAACTCTGGAATTATAGCAAAATTCATTATAAGACCCATATACACATTTAAGTTTTTTTTGTCTAGTTTCATAAAATCATAATTACTTATTGAACCAATATTTTATAAATAGATCTTATAATATTATTATCTTTCAATCGCGATAATTCATTAATTATAAATAATGTACGAAAATATTTTACTTTATCATTTTAAAATAGATTTTTAACGGCTATATATTTTTTCCTAATAAAAATCCATCTATATAAGACATATGGTTAGGTATACTTACTAATCAGTAATTACTTTAATATTTTATTTTATATATAGAATTAATTATTTATCCAAGCATCAAACGAACGAGACCCCATTATAGGGCAACCGTTTATGATACACGATAATGTAATACAATACAATAAAATAATAATGTTATAAAATATACACGAGTGTAAATGAGCTAGGATTTCACAATATAACTTGAACGAGTATAAGTTTGGTGATTTGAACATTTACATTTTGTAATTATGTACTTGAATTAAAATAATTCAATTTTATTTTTAGGAAGGTATATTATGATATAGGTAGGTTTAATTAGGTACCTAATATTGTACTTAAAAATATAGTGTTAAAAAATATAATATAGGTACTCACGAAAAATTATAATATTTTAATATTTATAGGTAGCCGGTAGGTTGGTTGGTAAACAGTTACTTACTCGAAGTGAGCAGTGATACAAGAGTTGATAGGTACAGACTGGTGCGTTGGCTTTTATAATAATAAAACTTCAACTGGTTTTGATGATAAATTTGAATATTTTATACCATATCCCGTGGCTTAAAAAAAAAAAAAAAACCCCGTTGCATGAAATCTCATTACAACAACAATATCATTGACAATTTAACAATATTCACTAAATGAAAATATAAAACTAATTAGCATTTCTATTCAAAATTACGTTGTTATCCTATTATTATACATAATATTAAACCTTAACTAATTTCGTTTATACTTTCAATAATATACTACTTATTATTTGTGTACAAACTACCTATACCATAATATATTATTATAACTTGAAGTGTAAGTAGGTACCTATACCGGCTATACCTTTATATTTTCTTAAAACATTATTTTAGTATTGTGTTAGGTTTATTAAACGGTATGTGGTATATACCTATGTATGCTATTAATTATTATTTTCTAATTAGAATATAATTAAAATAATACACAATATAGAGAGTTTTACAGTATTATCGAATAATGCTCAACGTGCTTCAAAAATATCTATTGAAAAAATAATATTTGTGATTTTAGTTGAAACATTTATTACTTGACAAAATAAAAATAATCATCATACCAGTTGTTTTTTATCTATTTGTAAATTAAGTAAAAGTCAAAGACAAAAAATTGTGAGTATGAATAAGTATAAAGGTACCAACCTGCTTAATAAATATGTAAAACATAGGTAAGTATACCCAAATAAACTTTGTTCTAATATATAATGTATTATACAAAAACATTCGAGTTACAAACAGTATCTATACCTATGTATAAATAATACAGCATTATTATGGTTGGTAGTGTAAGTATACCTATGTTAAAATAAATGTTTTCAAACAGGTTTTTATTTTATTTTTAATTAAATGTTTTTTTTTTTTTTAATTCGAAGATAGCAAAAACTACAAGTATCTATTAGTTTTACAATATATCTTGTTTTTTATATTTTATGTTGCATTGTTTATACATATTATAAACTATATGATATGGTGTATATTATATTATATGAGAAAGAATAACAGTAATTAAAAATGCTTAAAAAGATTTATTTACAATAGGAACGTACACTATTAGTCCGTGTACTCGATCACTGAAAGACTTTGTCTACACTACTAAGCACCAACTGACCTTTGTTTAACGTGTGTATATAGGTATATTATGTATACACTAATTCAGAGGAAGTAGACCGGGTCATAGAACAAGGCCAATGAGTACTAGTGTTTGGTGTAGGTATGTATATTTGTACGTGTAAGTTTAAAATTAAGAACAAATAAAATTAAAAAAAAAATAAATAAGGTTAAGTAACTCAAAAAGCTAATGCAATAATAGCTATAGTAAATAAATTACGGTCCTGTTGGCCCAATAAGTAAAATATAGAAGTGTAAAAATTATATAAACAATTACTTATTTGATACAAACAGTTTGTTTAAAAACATAATAAATAAAGCCCTTTAAGACTCTACAATTATAAATAAAAATAGCCCTTTTAGCTTGACAAACGATGATATTATAAAAACAATTTACGGCTCTTTTGGCACAATATTGTATATAAATAACAACTTACAATTTGTGGAGTGCAAATTGGCCAGCTAGGCACACATAAATTACAGTATTACAATAAATAAATGGCGATTTGTGCTCACTATATTATATTTATTAATAATAATACCTAATATGATAAACTATTTGGTGAACGTAGGTAATATTGAAAACTAATTCACATGCGTTACACAGAAAAATATAATTCACATATTAATTATCACAGTATTTTATAGCATATATTATACGTTTAACGGTACATATACATACCTACAAATACGTACCTATACAATTTATTACATCAATACTATACTAACGACATTAAGTCTGAATTGATTTCAAAAACCTTTAACACTGCCATACAGAAACTCCAACATAACATTTTTATTTTTAAAAAAGACACATTTATTTTATGTGTATTACCGAACTGTATTTTGACCTGACACCCATTGTTATAGACATTTCTCATTAAAAATCGTTTAAATTTATTTAACGCAAGACTTGTTATACCCAGGCGCGTTTGTCATTCACTGGACTGCAAAACGATGGACGTCGTATATGGTGCTGAAATCGTTGTGATTGATCTGTCCGGACCATGGATCGTACAACACGCGTTGTCCGTCACGGCGACGTTCGTTCGAAAAAGTGAATAGAATACTTTGCCGTTTTACCATCAGTCATTGACGGCCAATGCACAAGTTGTGACGAGCCGCATGAACATAAATAAATACATGACAATAATGAGGAAAAGGTCGTTAACTGGTGAGACGGCGATCCCAGTGGCGTGTCTAGAAATCCAGCGGATAGGCTTAGTAGGCCCGGGCCAGAGTCTTAACGATTTTACCGGTTATTTGTTTATATTGATTTCGCCAACTGTTTTATAAACAATAACCAATGTATCATATTATACAAATTTTTTTTTTTAATTTTTAATCAACAATACAGGTACCTACTCTCAGTTTACCATTATAGTAAATGTATTTTTTTTTTTTTTTTATTTAAATAAAAATATTTTAAAAAACAATTCGAACATCGTCGTTCATTACGGATAATACAACCCAATTATACCCAGTGCATAATATATTATGGCAGAAAAAACAATAAAATACAAATTACAATGTAAAATTTGCCAAAATAATATAACATAAATACATACTTTGTGATTGTTTTTACATTCAACATTTTTCAAAACGGTGGTCTGATGCCTGCAGTTTTTTACAAGAAAATCCATAGATATTTTTTATTTAACGAATCGTCAAAAATATTTGTTACATACACTTTTTTAATTTTATAATTTTAATTTTTGCTGATTTTATTATTTTTTAGTCCTTATATTATTGCATAAGAATCAGTTTGTATTTTTAAATTCAATACATATGAAAGCAAAAATAAACTTGCATGTGCTTTGAAGAATTACGTGTTGTGATGGTACAGGATTTTATTGGATTTCTTTATTCACGGATTTTGATAAACTTTCCAATTCATTTATATATTTTTGTCTCAATTGATTTTAAATTAATTTTTTGTTTTACAAATTCGGGTTCATTTTGTGACAATGTAAACTTTCATCTTACATGATAAATGACAATCATACATTTTTTCGGTACGTTTTTTATTGATACATTGCCATTTATAAGAATCTAAGTATTTAACATACGTTTTATTTTAAAATTTATAATTTTAGTGTAATTTTATAATATTTTGATAAATCGATTTTTACACGATATTACACAATACATGCACAAAACTACAACTATTGAATACTGAACATATTGAACAATACTTAAAATTTTGATCGGTAAGACTTGTACTTACTTTTATTTCTTATAGACTATAGACTTATAGTACTAATATACTTACATATAAATATATCTTATTGATTGAGATAGCTATCTATGTACATATTATTTTACATCATATACTATGTTAGATAGTAGATACTGTTGAACAAAACAGTTCAAATATACATTTTAAAATAAATATTTTTAAATTAAAAACAAAAAATTGTATACCGAAATCTGAATATGAAATGTGAATAAATCGGCGTACTGACGTCTACATAGATATCCGTACCTATGTATCAATTATATTTTGTATATTGTAATTATAATCATTAAATTAATTGGCGATCTTCAAACGCTTCTAGGAAAACATGCATCCGCTAACCATCGTCAACAACAATAATGTTTTATGATGAAAATTAAAAATAAATTTATAGTAAATATTTTTAAAATAATAATACGGTCGTCATCGCTAGCATCCGCATTTAGCGGTCACCGCTGCTGAACATGGACATAGGACAATTTAACAACGTTGCTATTTATTATGTCACGGTTGACAAATGAGTCCGTACTCTGCGAGTGAGTGTATGTTTTTATTTTATATGTGTTTTGTGTGTTTTTTAAATCTATTTCTAATTCAACAAGAATATTAGATAAGAATGGCAAAATAATTGATTAACTACAAAAAAAAAAAAAAATTGTTAAGCTAAACGATAATTCGATTTCTATTGATGCAAAAGTATTCGATATGAGTTTAATTATTGTAATTACTGATGAAGTGATGAACGACCAATTCAACCATTTTTTAATTCTTCTCGTCGTAAAATTGATGATAAACGACGTTTTTAAAGTTCTTGCTACAAAACATACCTTTTTTTGGATTAAGTATTCTGTTTGATCGGATGCAATTTTGTTATTTCTTTTGTCGTCAATATGCTACAGATAAGTACAAGTCGTGAAAAACATCAAAATAGTCACTTTTCAAAATGTCTAAAACTCATTGCAATCAAAAAACACGTCTTTGAATAAAACACAGACAATGTTGTAACATTAAAGTTTGACTATAATAATTATAATAATTTAACTTTTGTCTTATAATAATATTAATATGAGTATGAACTAAATTAATCTTAAGCTACTAACCATAATTATTTGGTCCATGCTAATAAATGCACTTCTGTATTTCCAAGACGAAGATAACAATAAACAAATGCTGTTGGGCCAGGTCCCAAGGCATTGTAGAGGTACACATATAATTATTATTTATTATTAATTACAAATCTAATACATAAAAAATGAATGATCGTTTTTTCGTCTTCTATAGACTCAAAAACTAATGGCCCGTTTTCAATAGAAATCTATAGGTTTCTCAAGAAACAATGAGCGATTGAAATTTTGTTTTTCAACTCGCGTACTTAGAAGTTAGGACACTTTAGAATGGCTCATACATACGTATATTCTATTTTACTCAAGAAAATCGAATATTTTTTTGTTTGTACTAATAGCGTTGCTATATTGGTTACAGATAATAAAATAGTTATTTTGATTAGATATGATTTAAATATATTCTGTATCTTAATATAAAAAATGATTGAAAAATAATATAATCATGCCTAACTAAAGACATCCATGTTTCAATGTTTTTCCAAAAGACAGGTTACGTCCGCCAATTTACTGTGGCTGTGGATTCATTGTATCTAAGTTTGATGTTTTCAAATTTAAATAGGTCAGTAAAATAATTGTGCTGGCATTACGTCATATGTCAATTACACGCAGCATAGATGTGCCCCGACTTCTGAGTCGGGTATGGCTAAATTCAATCTGACCACTCACCCTCCCCCCATCGGTCACGATCACACAAAAAAAATTATGCCTATGAGCAACTAGTATATCTTTAATCGTGTAAATATCTATGGTTTTGATTTATTTTGTTATTAATAATCTACGGCTATAACGCCCTATTACTTTTTTAGGTACCAAGTACCCACCCACGCTTAAAAAAAAAGACTCAGGTGGGGCTAAAGCCCAATCATCTCTACCCATGCGCATGCCTATGACACGCAGCCGTAAAAAAGAACTTGGGAGACTTTTGCTGGGGCTAGGGAAGCAGCCAACGATGGTGTACACTTTTAAACTATATTTTTGATTCGACGATATATAAAATATATATATACGATGTATATATCTACATGTGACTTTGTTTAAATTAAATAAAGGTTATCAAGTACATTTTATTGTTTACGATTTATTTATAAGTAGAAATATATACCTACTACTAAAAAATTTGCAAAAGAACTATTGTAATATATAATATAAACTCTCAAATTATGTCTTTAAACTGAAAAGCAATAATGGTCGATCTACAGCTCAAACATAATGAAAAAACACGAAGAGCTTTAGAAACAGACGAGTAACAAAAAGCTATAGACTGTAAATCGTTCGAATTTACAATGCTCCAACTCGATTGTTTGAATCAATCGAACAACGAAAATAATAATGTATATGTAAATAATATCTCATTTTAACTAAAATATTAATAAATGTATGCTGGAACCAAGGAATGATAAAATATTGCCGGGTCAACTAGTTTCTACCCAAATAAAAAACAAAATATAATAATATGATGTTATGGTATTTTGATATTTCTAAATAGTAAATACTATAATATTATATAATCAAATATTTTCTTTAGGTAAACATTATGTTGACCTGGAAGAATTTACGCTAGTTGTAATAATCGTAGTAGTTTAGGTACCTACACTGTCTATCCCTCCATCTTTTAATAATTATAATTATCATTTATTGAGTCATGGATACAAAATATTATCATTTAGTATTTAGTATTTACATCATTACATTTCACAACACTTTAATCGGCCGTTCTCAATTTCACAACAAGAAAATTAAATATAATTTCAATAAAATGTACAAATTATGAATGATATATGATATTAATCATATACCTTCTATTTATTATTAGATATAGTCACTGTGTCACTCTCGATGGCCTTAATTGCATTTTGAACTTTTTTTTAGCCTGACATAATGTATGGAGCTTTAATTTCTACAGTGGCTCTTTCGTCAATAATTCTACCTTCATAATGCAATTATAATGTATATTAGTAAAATAGTATTAAAAGTTTATTATTATTATTATTACTTATGTATAATATTTATTATGAACCGAGACTTACAGCTCAGAATAAAAATTCTATGTCTAGATTATAGTTTATTGACAAATGACATTATTCTTAATACTTTCAATAATCAATATTTATTAAAAAAAAATAATTAGAAAATTACTATATATGAATATCAACACTTATATTTATTTCAAAATACAATCAAATACGAGTAGGTACTTTGTTTTATTTATTAAACAATTTTTTAACAGTTTAAATTACGCTAAAAAACTGTTTCATAAAAATTATTGAGCAAACAATTTTACAGCTATATTTATTACATAACAAAAGTAGTTACTTGATTTTCTCATCAATAATGGTACACAAATTCACAGTAATAAGCATGTAATAATAAATAATACACATATTTACAATATTTCTATAAATTAGTTTTACAAAAAAAAAAATATTTCATAGAAATCAATTTTTAAAAATATAAATACTTAATTTAACTAAAATAAGTGTAATAAATAATAATGTAACATTATACTTTATTAGTACCTATAATGCAATTAAGTAAAGTAAAGAATGTGTTATGACTTTTTTCTGACACAATTCCAGTAGTTAAAAAAATCCATAACTCACTTAAGTATCATGTAACCCATGTGTCAATTGATTGAAAATTAAGTCTAAAGTTGGTATTTATTATGAAAATATCATTTTTGATTAAAACTTCAGTTATCTCATTGTACAATTCATGTATAAATAAAATATTCATTCAAATATATAAGTAGCCAGTAGGCAAAAAATTTACAATTATAAAATTATAATAAATTTTAAATAATAACATGAAATTGAAGATTAATATAAAACCATTGATAAATAAGTGAATTTTTTACTATTAATATAATATTATAGATTCTACTCTGCAAGGGAACTTATTAACTAAATTAGTTTAAAATTAAAAATAAATAATTTAATTATTAAATTTTCAAAATAAATTATTTTTGTAGTAAAATTTTTTTTATACATACTTATAGTAAAAAGGTATATTTAAATTGTAACCCAAATATTTCATAAATAGAATTTTTCATTATTCTTAATAGTGTTTCTTTTATAAAGTTTCATTTTTAAATCGGAGAACAATTTAACTTTTAACCAAAGTAGTATACAAGTAACTACTAAACTTAAATATTATTTCAAATAAAAATTATTTTTATCTTATGTTAAAGTGTTAATCAAACTAAATATTTAAATTAATAATTCCTCTTTTGCTATCAATATACTATTAAAAGAAAATTGAAATATATAAATCTAAAGCGATAATAATATGAATATTTTTGATTATTTCAGTTATGGTAGTAAGAATAAAAAATTGTATACTTTTAAATATAATATATTTTTTTATATGAATTTTATTTTTTTTTTTTTAAATGGTTACTCAAAATAATTAAAAATAATTTCTAAATATTCTTAAAACAAATCGTACCCAAAGAGGTGCTTTAAATTCACCATCAGGAATATACAATGATGTTGATTTAAAAATATCACATTTCTCTGTATGAAAATTTTGTTGCAATTTTTGGTTATTTGTTACAATTATTAATTGTGATTCCAAATCACAATTCAATGATCTAGCTCCTGAAAAAAATAATTACAACTTCAGAAAATACTAAATTTTACGATGAAAAATAAACTGTACAAAAAAATTAAAAAAATTAAATCCATCCAAATTCAATATTTAAAGAAAAAATTAATTATGTACCATAATTTGAAGAGCCCACAGCTGTTAATACAGGCAACTCACACTTGTTTGGAGTGTACCACAAACCCTTGGAATGAAATGTCCATCCAGTTCTTTGGTATTCAAAACAAGTGATCCGTTCATGAAGTTTGAGTTTTTCAATTTTACTATGAAAAGTATTTGTGAGATAACTGTATGCAGTAGGTATAAAACCAGCAGGTCCTTTAGCCTGTTGAAATGAATTAGCCATTGGATGGGAAAACAATATTTTGAAGTTTGCCAATGATTTTTGAAACATAGTATTAGTGTAAATATCTGGTATGTTAAAGTATCCAGTGGCCATATGCATTGTAGATCCAGGTTCAGCATTACACATAAGAAGATTAGTTGTTTGACTGTCATGATGTATGTCAAATGGAGGAAATTCAATTAAAGGATAAACTATTGTATCCGTAGCTAAAATTCAAAAAGAAAATAATAAATTAACATAATACATATACTTTAAAGAAAAAAATTGATATTACTTTTTTCAAAAATTGGATGTTTTATAATGTGTGTATTATAATATTGCATTAACTGTTTTCTAGCTTCTGAAGCATATGTTTTATAAGGACTCTTATATGGATGATGTTCCCAAGTAGGATCCAATGTTAAAGTGTTTTTATTTGTAAGCTGAAATGACATACGGCCAAATAATTCAACTAATCCTGTATAAAAATCTACTAACGATTTGCAATCTTCAATGATAATATATCTGTCTTGTCTAAAATTCAAATTAATACAAATTACAATTATTTGAACATTAATACAATATGCAAACAGAATTATTAAAAAATAAAAAGTTTATTAAAATTTATTTACCGATTAGTAAAATAATCTTGACTTAAATTTGCACCGCTGATAATTATAGAGTCATCAAACATGTATAGTTTCATGTGCTGTATTCCTATTAATTCGTTATATCTTTCAGGTAATAGCAACCGAAGTAGTCCTCTCAATTTTGGGGTATGATACAAAAATACCTTAATGACAAACAATTAATAAATATATTAGATTATGTGTTAAACTTATATTTTACTATATTTACCTACACGACAATCGAATGATGGATTCACTATGGGCATCAACATGGTACGTGAACTTACTTTACCTCTAGACCCACGATTAGCGTCCAACAAAACCCTCACACTCAATTCTCTCCTATTTTCCATAGCATCTTTTATGGTATTAACCTGAAATCAAAATCAGTTATAAATCACAGTATTATACTAATCCAAGGAAAGATTACTCACAAGATCTCGTTCTAGATTCCCTATACCCAGATACAAAGAAGCTATTACAATGCGATGTTTTGCTGTACGGCATCGGTCTAAAAGTGTGCGATAGAACTCTGAGGGACTCTTTAATGCTGTGATCTAAATTATCATAGTATAAAAATAAACTATATTGAGTATAATATATTACATTTCATTTTTTTTGATAAAGTTTAAATTTAAAAATACACTTACGTTTTCTGCTTTAACCGAATATGATGGTCCAAGCTTTTGTAACCATTTGAATTTTGAAAGATAACAGTTTTTGTCACAGTTAGTAGTCATTTTTAAAATTTTTGAATTCCAAATAATTAATACAATTGTTCACCAAATATTGATCATCACGATCGAAAATCGGAGGGATAAGGGCGAATAGTGAAGATAACTGTTACATACCAATACTAATGACAGGAAAAAACTAATAACGAAACTATAAAATTAAAGTGAAAAAAAAGTGAATGGGTAGATTGATGGCCAGACGACTCAGATGAGGGACGACCAGACGAGTTGACTAGAAAGTAGAAGGTATTAGGTAAGTAAAATAGACGACGAACCAGTGACCGACTGAAACAAGTTACGGCCATGGAAAACGGATTATAGGAGATATAATTATAGCGATAACAATGTAGATAAGCGGCTTTTTTTCAAGATAACAGAAGAGTAGTCTTATCATGATAGTTGGATGTAAAAATTGAGTGAAGCCAGTGAAGGTATTTAAAATATTTAATTCGTAAAATAATTAATATTAATAAATCTATGATTAGTATGATTTAATTACTCATTTACGTTCTATACAATTAAAAACGTACTTTTTATTCATTAAAATAAGTTATAATTTACTACATACGTTACATATTAATAACACGAGTTGGGAAATTTAAGATAAAAAATTAAGCACAGTAATCTGCAATAATAAACATGTGCATAATAGTACAAGTTATTTCTAATTTATTTTTTTGGATATTAATAAAATATAAAGTAACATTATAGCAAGATTATATAATTGGTAGGCACTAAATAGTAAATACCGTTGGTTACCACTTATCATAATAATAATTTATCGTGAGCATTTATAAATGAACTATATTTAGGTATTTTATGCATAATATTTTATTTTACTGCATTTATCAAAAAAAAAAAAAAAAAAAAATGGTTTTCGCAATAGAATTAAAATACCTATTAGTAGTAATACGCTATTACTTATGTTATGCAATAAGTAAAAACTGTGATAAAATAATAAATAAATGTAAAATGTTTGGGAGGAGAAAGAGATCAATAATTGATTGACTCCGCATGATGAATTGACGAATATTTTAGTTATCTTGATTTTTCAAATGTAGAAGTAATTATTTTAAACAGTCTAAATTATTAAGACACGTCTATTAAATAAAATGTTTTGAGAAAAAAAAATTATACTAGTCCAAGAACTTAAAATATTAAAAAATCATTCATTATGAATTTAAAAATATTTTCAAAAAATTTTAAATACGCGCTAAAAAAAACTATAACTTTTGTTGTACTATTACTATTTACTACGTAGTTCTTATCCGAAATATTAAACAAAAATGTAGGTTATAATTATAATTAATAATGTAATTAATTTTAACCTTGATTTACGAGAAATATCTTTCAAAGTCCTTGATAAATTATTAAATTAAACACTAAAATAATTGAGTATTTAATCACAAATATTGTGAATTGAATTTTGTACTTAATAAACATACGATTACATTAACCAAATAAATACCTATGCAAATACATGAAAGCACTTGCTCTAGCTATAACTATTAACTTATGTCTATAATAAGTTTGACTGCAGGAGAATTTTTGTGCTTTATACTTTATAGTTTATAGTAAGTATGATTGTTAAGAAGGTTTTTTGACAGTTTGTAATATTTACATAAATAAATTTTAAAATTAAAGTTTTTTTCTCTAAGTACCTATCGTTTCATCGAAGATGTAAAAACTAAAAATGAAGCTTCTAATAATTAACTCGCTAATTTAGGCTTAATTAAAATGTTCTTTTAACAATATTATGGTATAATTTCTATTGTTAAATCAGACTAATTCCTTAAAATGTTTACAAAAAAACCACCAAAAATAGTTAAGACGATTAGTAATGATAGATTTGTAAACAATTGTTACTCTTAACTCTTAAGTCTCAACTGAATAAAAAATTATATCCTACGTTTATTGCCTATTATCATTGGTTATAAATAGTAATTTTTACAATTAATGCTATTATTAACTAAATAGATAGGTATTTAAAATGATTAGATAAATTATTATAGAAACAATCATTTTTTCAAAAATATAGTTAAAAATTAAAAAAAAACACAAGTGATATCAACATAAGTGATATGTATTATGTCATATAGATGTAATTTAAATCGAAATGATTCAATACGTTTGGTACTTTAGGATTAGGAGACTTTCATTTCAAAATTAAATTATATGAAAGCTAAGATGTTAACTTTCCTTTTAATATAGTCAAAAAAAAATTTAATAATTTTAAATAATTGTTGGGTACTAGGTATATTGAATATAATACAAGTATATAACTATAACAATATACAACATCTCTCTACATATATATATATATAGATATCTACTCTGTATTCATACTATCTTTGTGCTTGTAAAATAGTGACGTATTCCGTATCCAGCATAACCTAATCTACATTTATTATTTATTGTCTAATTATATGCCATAACCCATTGGTTACGATAAAAAAAGTAGATCTTATGACTTCAGATTTGTAAATCGCAATTTATATAATGTGTTTAATTTTTATGGTCTAATAGATCACAAGTTGAAATGTCTTGTAAAACCATTATAAATAATAAATTGTTTGCATAATAGTTTGTATTGCGATTTTAATTGAAGATTACATTCTTCAAAAATTTAATAAATATATAAACATGTGTGATTTTGACAATATTCGTACATTACCTACTTTTAAGATTTCGTAAATAAATACAAAGAAAAACACTATATGAAAAACTTATATTAAATTATCGAGTTTTAATAAACAATATGTAGGTACGATGCTGCATTTATGTAAATTCTATCATATGATAAAGTACAGCACTATTTCCCTTCTTCACATCCAATTGTAGGAACATAAATTAATTAATAAAATTAAATATATATTAAAATATGGGCAAATGGGTTCTACTCTGCTGTTTAGTAAATGTTGAGTGGGTTATAGTTATATGAATGTGCTCAATTTAAATTCAATGATATATCGTTGTATACGAATGACAATTCTGAATGAATACGGTTTATCAGCTAATATCACCACAGAATAAATTTAAATTTAAATGATATCTGCAGTATAGCAGAGCCAACTTTCCATCTTCTCTCAAATAATTTTTTTGCTGCGTTACATTATTTATCTTGTATATCTTGCAAATTGCAATACTAAAACAAGCATAATTCGTTTTGGTTGTTACTTCTTGAATATATGTAGGTAATATTCTATTTATGTCAAAATAAATATTAATAAAATATTTAATTGGACATGGCCGTTTTTAACCAAAAACGTACTCTTCGCTTTTCGACCAAATTTAAAATAGGTAGATTCCTTTTTTGACCAAAATCGTACCCTTCTTTGTAAGGCCAATTCACTTTTCAGTTTTCAACCAAATTTAAAAAAAAAACACTTATTCCCTTTATGACCAAAACAAAATTTTAAATAATTTATGTAAAAAAAAATAAAATAATTGGTAGGTACATAGTTTTTGTAAAATTAGGGCAATTATATAATTATATAATTCTGAAAATGATAAAAAGTATAAAATGCATAACGTTATGTAAAATAAAATGTAGAAAATTATACTTTTAATCATTTTCAAAATTATATAATTATTCAATTGTCCTACATTTATAAAAAATTATTTATCAATTATTTTATTTTTTTACATACATTACATAAAATTTTGTTTTGATCAAAAAGTGAATCGGCCGAAAATGGAAGGGTACGTTTTTGGTCGAAAACAGTCTTGCCCATTTAATTCTCTGAAAAAATAATCATTCATTCTCTTATGTTATTTTAGTGTATTTTTGTTTGAAGCCTTTAAGTCGTCACTTTCCTTTAAAAAAATAATATTTACTATTGATAACTCTTGTTTCATCGTTAAAACTAAAAATTAGATCAATCTTCCTTTTATCAATAAACATATAAGACTATAATATGTCTATAATATATTACATCAGTAGGTATAGGTACCACATGTTATTCAATCAAATTTTACAATTGATTATTTTGATGATGTTTTACAAGTTCGTTATTTACAAAATTGAGGAATTGCTTTTACCATAATGTGGTTATGAAGCTTATACTAAACACATTTTTCTAATAATATGCAGATCGCGTATACCTTGTACCGATGCCGGCATCATTCCTATCTTATATATTACATTTACATTTTAAATTAATAAATTATATATTTAATTCAAAAGGGAATTTTGTCTATCGATTTTTAAATAAACAATTATTGTACATTATATTATTATAGGTATGTAAATAAAAATAAAAACAATCAATGATAAAATATGTATTATCATATTATTTGCATAGAAAATAAACTTATCATCTTAATCATTATTATAAGTAATTACTTTATTTTATAAAGGAAGCTTAAAAAAAATTGTCTTTGTTTTGATATGGTACTTCGTAAATATTTTTTAATAAGTTTTAATCTTGAGAATTTTCTCTCTGCTTCAGGTGACGTAAGCGAAATTGTTAACATAATTTGCAAAGCAATATTCAAGTTGGGAAATACGTTTGTTTATTTTTTTTTTAAATTTCAGATAGTACTGAAAGTAGTGTAGTATTTTTATCAATAAAACGGCGGAAAATTAATACTTCTTCATATAAATCATAAACATTTAAATCTTTTTTGTCATTTTCTAACAAATGTATTTCCAAATCTTTGCAACAATTTAAATTTTCTAAATCAGGGATATAACAAAGTTTTCCAACATCATACAAAAATTCAAAAAAATATTATTGGCTACATTAAATGCAATAAGCTGATAACGATTATAAAAACGTCAAGCATTTTAGTTTTAACAAACATATTTTCAATGTGTCCAACAAAAATAATCTGGTAGAAATCAATTTTAATTTACAGTTATACTTGGGTATTTTGAGTAGTATACTAGTATGTTGTTTATATATGTTGGGTAATACTAAGACTCATGATCAAAAGTGAATTTTTTTTTTTGGATTCATTCAGGGAGCATTATAAATAACGCCTCCGACACTCACTCCCTATCTTGCTCGCCGCATTTAAAAGTCCGATTGGGATTACGATACATCATGTAAACATCCATGTATTAATGCAAAACATTATTGTTTACCAATAAAATAGGTAAATAAAGAAAAAAATTCCCGCTGTTAAAGTCAATAATCTGACAAAAATAAAATATATAATACACACAATAATGTTGGTACATCATTAATTATAAAATAGTCTATTCTATAATCAATGTATAATGTATATACTATATAATATCGTAATAAAGATTTAGTTTTAATACAGTTCTGTAGTCTAAACACTTTCCGGCAAGGCTTGATAGTTGATAGTCACAATTCGTACAAGTCGTAATAAAATTAAACTACAATTGTATGAAATTAACAAAATTTTTTCAGGTTGTTCGAAAAAAATATTTATTAATAAAGATGATTATTATAATAACGCAAAAGTTACTATAGAATCTATACGTATAATTCAAAATACATCGTAGTCAACACAGTGATTAATTTAACTAAATAGTGCAGGATCGCGCTAGCAAATATTTTTCAATACCTATAGTAATTATATAAGAGCCCATATTTAATTTTCATAATAATATTAAGTAATATATATATATAACAATAGTAACAAATTAAAAAGTTATAGGTATATTCGACAGATGTCGTGCATGCGATGGTTTTTTCTTTTAAATATAAATTCAACAATACATAATATAATATAATAATACTTAAGTGCTATAAATTCGAACAATTTTTTTTTCTAAATTTTTGTATTCGCTAAGACAATTTTTTTTTATTTTATATACTTTTTGTACGTTTTTTTTTTGTATTATCACGCGGTAATTTCGAGTTTTCCTTTCGTAATAATTAAGTATACACTATATAAATATCGTCAGACGAAAGCCACACGAAGTTTTCTTGTCGTTTTTATAAGTTTTTTTTTCTAGTAATTTTGTAGTTTTATAATTTTTTTTTGTTTTTTTTTTTTTTGTTCTTTTTCGGGCTTGTTTTTTTACAAACTAACAAAATATTGAATCCAATGACATCGTTTCTTTTAATCGATTGTAACTATTACTAATGGCTTCTTTGATTTGAGCAAATACATTATGGTTATTCACAGACCGTGCTGTGTTCGTTTTCTCAAAAGGTTCTGAAAAAAAAAATAATAATATTAAGAACAATGACAATTAACAATAAACGACTAAAGTATGGATAAATAAAAATTAAATATTTTGGATGACTTTGAAGAATCAACTTGATGCCATTTAATAAAAATGCGATCTTTATCACGCCCTTATTAATTATAAGAAACTAATTACTTTTTATATACTTTTAAATTTCTAATACATTAGACGGAAATGGATAAATAAGGCTAGGATCACACTATGCGTTTTGTCGGCAACCGAAAAATACTATCCCGATTAACCGCAATCGGGACGATCGATCATACTGTGCGTTTTATCGGTAACCGAATACATACAAATGAGATTAAAAAGCCCGAAAATCGTTTTTAATTTAAATTTAAATTTTAAACTGATTTTTTATTTAAACAAAATGTATCTAGTATTATAAGTAAAAAAATAATAAAAAGGTTGTGTAATTAGAATTATTTGTTTTTATTTAAAACGTGTATCAACTAATTATGCTAATAAATAATAATATACATCTATAATATAAATAAAATATAATATATATATGTATATTACAAATATATTTTAAGTTTTTTAATTATTTAAATTTAAAAATAATTATTAATTATTCATAAAATTTTCAATTTCGGTTACCGATAATCCGCACAAATGTGATCGGACAAATTGCATTGCATGTGTTGTGCTTTACATCCCGAAACGCAACCGGACGGTTGGGCCGCAACACGTTGCGGTCGCTTCCCGACGGTTTTTAATCGGTTCCGCAAATCGGTCTAGTCTGGCCCTGATAACGCGTTTTATATTTAAACCTATTTTATTTTAGAGTGTTGCGGTTTGGCTCCGGTTGATCGGGAACCGACAAAACGCATAGTGTGATCCTAGCCTAACGTGTTAGCTGACAACAGCATTCTAACTTTTAAAAGATACAAATCCAGCGTAAAAATCTTGGAGTAGCTATGTTTATTTAAAACATTTAAACATATATTTATATTAAAAATCGATGTTTAAAATGTATTATCAGCGCCGGATCTAGAGCGCAAGAATCAGGGAATTTTGAATCATACCTGAATTTAATATTTTCTTAATTTTTTCGTACTAATTAATTATATTAATATATCGATATAGTTTTTTTTTATAGCTTATATATTAAAAAGCTAAACCAAAACAAAGTTACCATAAACTTTTAAAAGTATTTAAAACTATATATATAATATAGGTATATATTAAAATAAAGTTTGAGTTACATTTTCAGATCTTAAGGTAATCTTATTACCAATTTTAAAAGCTCCAAAAAGTCAATAAATGTACAAAACTCTATCGTTTTTAAGCAATTTTTACGATCATTATTAATAAAAATAAATGTTGTAAAAGAAATTGTTTAATTTATAATTTTACAAATATGTAATTTATTTAATATTTATAAATTTTAAATGACGAACATGGCAAAAATTACTGCATGATTTATATTATACTCGTATTTATATGTGATTGAAGAAATGTTTATTGTTATAATATTTCCTATAGGTATATTGAAGAAGTATGTTTGCTTGTTTCTTGGATCAGAGGGGGGATCCGAGAAGGGTTCTTATAGATCCCTGGCTAAGACTTTTATATTTTTCAATAGCATGATAAACTACATAATGTCTACAGATTTGTAAAATTATTATTTTATAAAATTTAACGATAACATATAATAATCTTTTTGGTACAAACCTTCGATTCCTATGAATTTCCATTGTCCCGGATTGTTTTTTGCCGCATCGGCCATCCGACAGCTTTCTAGTGGTATCGGTGATCCCATTCTCACAGACACCGCGTGTTTATAAAAACTAAAAATAGATACATAATACATATATATATATATAGTTTAATATCAGGTATAATTTGAAATAGTAAGTAATAATATAAATTAAGTATTTGTTTTTATCTAATGTATTTAAGTGAATGGGACTATATTTTAAGAAATGTGTTAATTTAAATAAAAAATAAAAATAATAATAATGATTTGAAATTAATAAAAATTTAAAATAATGAAAATATGTTTTTTTAATTTTAAAAACCTGCTGTGATTTAGACACGTAGTTAGGTGCATGGTATTATCGTAAATATATTGAATATCTTGTATATAACATAAAACTTAAAAAATAGTATTATCTTATTTTTATATAGAATACCGCCAAATAATTTAAAAGCATTTTTTAATTTTTTATATCCAGTTTAAATGTTTGAAAAAATATAAATACCAGGGTTTAGATATCATAAAATATTTCTTAAATAACCTATATGACAACATTAATGTTTAATACATTATATATATGTACATATTATAATTTAAATATGATGTGTTTAAATATTTATTCTTATTGGATCTAATATTTTCCCCAACATTCACTTAAACGAAATAATTTTATAAAATAAAATAATTAAAATTGCTTTTCTTTATTTTATTTCAAGAATATTTCATCTATTTTTAAAGTTATATATGCTATTATTCTCGCACTCACTCCTCGGTATACACATCAATTATCGATAATATATAGTAATTTATAATAAAAATAAGTTAACACATGCACAAACTAATAAGTATTAACTATATTATATAATATATTATTTTTACTTGAAATCATTATAGTATTCAAAAAACTGCAAAAGCAATTCGCCGAGGCTCTGTTTGTTTTCGCTTCTCCAACCACTGCTAGGCAACTGTTCGTGCATGTGCACGAATTCGATGTCGGTGTTGGCCGAGAACTTCATGCCGTAGATGCACTGCAGCGACGGTAACACGGGCGGTTTGACGCCTGTGAATCACAAGCATAATATATATATATAAATATACATATAATATTTATAATTTTCATACAGACTTAATATAGATCACGACGACTAATGAACGATCCAACCATGAATGATATGCGTTATTATCATCAGTTGAAACGATTGTCATTAAAATAATACATATCATACATCGTCATCGCGTAAAATGTTGTAATTATTACACATTATTACTTGTGAGTAGGGCCCAGATTTAAATACCTTAAATCTATCAAAAAATGTTCTAGAAAATCACCGAAAATGCAATGTCTTTAAAAAATGACCACACAATAACTCTATAAGTGATAGGAAAACAACGGTTTAATTAACGGAGATTTCAGCACTTCTTGATCTTAACTAAACTAGCAATAATATAAAAACAAAATACCTTACTTAGGTATAGACAAATAATATTTGAAAACTATTAAATCAGATATTAAGAAAACAATAATTCATAATATAATATTTTTAATTTTTTAATTTACAAAAATCTTGTATAATAAAAATGTTAAAAAATGAAAAATGAAATTTGCACTTTTCAAACATCTATTACATTAAAAGTAGTATGTACTTAAAATGTATTATTTTAGACTAAAAAATAATACCTTTTGAGTTGAAATCTGGGCTCTAAGTTATTAGTTTTAGTAAGTTTATTTATTTACTTTGCAAGAAATTGATAACCATCAACACCAGCGAGTAACTGGAAAGCGTCATTTTTTTCGGATCGTTAATGTTGTGACTAGACGCCCACAATTTAATGGTTACTACCAATGGCCTTACACGGTAATCGACTGAAAAACCATTAAAACCATTACAACACGATATGTGGTGGTGCAGAACAAAAATGGTTATGTATTAAAATAAAAAATAATAAATATACATCATCACATATGGATATGCAGCTTCTTTATTTAGTATGGTAGTAAGTTTTGCAAATATTAATAAATTATTATTTGTACATATTATAATAATATATTAAACCAGTAACGTATTTGAGGAAAACAATCAGAAAACGGAGGGTATTCCTAAAAATGATTCCGAGTGGAAAGAGTCTTAATTTTAATTTAGTATTTGCTTTAAGTTTTTGGTCACTATAATTTATTTGTTTTTCTAAAATATTTTTAAAAGTACTAGACAACTTTTACTTATGACAAACCAAATCAAATTTTCTATCAGAAAATTCCCTAGAAGTTGATAATTGAAGAATATTTTCTTAAAAAAATGAATATTTTTACATTCCCTCTTCCCTATCAAAAAAAAAAAAACACGTTATACAACTATTACATTCATTGTCCTGCTCAAAATCTAAAATTATTATAACATTTAAATCAAAAACTCAAGAATTTAATTAATACGTGGGCTTGAAGTCTCTGCCGTAACTAGAGTTGTATTAATACATTTTAAACGTTTCATCTCCCTTAGTCGAATTCGAGAATTCCAATACGCCATTGAATTAAGCATTACCCATGTCCATAACATTATGAGGTTTTAGTGTAAGGACAACTTTTAATTATTTTACTACACCGAACTATAATATAAATTATAATATATAGTCGAATATTACATATTAATCAAATTACCATACACTTTACCATGGTTAAAATATTAGTTTTACATAATGATTACCATATATTATATAGTTTCTAAATTCTCATATGATAGTTTCTTTAAACTATATTTAAGTATTAAAATAAAACTGTTAAATTATAAAACAGCGTAGTTAGTTATTAAACTACATACGTCCGAGATATTTTAATATGAATACAATTTTAAAATATGTCTAACTTACGCCTCGAATAGCAGTACAGCAAATGGGTGTTGCGGATGCCCACCACGTTGTTGCAACAAAAGTCCACGTCCATCTTTTCGTCGCCGGAACCGATCCACCGAAACCTGAGTATGGGAACTTTGGCGTACACGATGCGCATTTCCGAGGTACCTACTTTTCCGTTGATACGCTCATGGTTCAGCAATGCCATCAGCCACTGGAGCCGTTCGACGGCACATATCCGGTGTCGCTCCTCAGTCACGGTTCGATGCTGTCGAACGCCAGCGTTGACCCCCGTAGCCGCCGTGCAGCCAGTGAGTAAGCAGAAGTCCGCGTCGCTTACGTCACCGCCGAAACCGTTCATCGTAGACCCGACCAGGTATAGACCACAACCGGGCGCCCAGCTTTTGATTAGTGTCGACAGCCTGCGCCACATGGCCATTTTTGTTTCGTAAACGCTCTCGGACTGACGGTTGTCCAAGTACGTGTGCCAGACTTTCGACGACAGCTGAAACGCGTCACAATAATGATGATGGAATGATAAAGATATTTATTATAATATGACATAATTGCGATGTATAAATATATATCATAAATCATAATATTATTATCACCAGCGATTTATATCATTTATTTACCAGGTAGAATTTAAAAGAGGATGCAAGAAGCTCAGAACTTCACATATTCAGAATTTTTATATCCTTATATAGGTACTAAATAAATTATAACTCATAATATAAATTAAAATTACAGTATTGATATATGTTCAATAACTTATTTATTGTCAAAAATTAATTAATAAACTAAAGTGAAATAAATGTACAAAAGTAAATACCTATAAAAAGGAGAATGTACACCAAACTAAAAATAGTAGGTATAGATACGATTATACCTCGTCACTGCAATGTATTAGTGTAAAGTTTTATTTCATAGATAAATCATTATCATTACTATAGTTCAATTTATCTTATACATGATTAACAATAAACGATATGCTGAATAAATTTTTGCAAAAACCATTATGTTAATCTTATAATATTATTTATATTAAATTATTATATTAATTATATTATAGTATATATTTAAATCATATAGGTATTATTGTTACAAACTTTCAAGTAAATACCAAAATACCGTAAAAAAATATGAATAGGTTTGTGATATAAATAGGCAATAGCATCATCAAATTAATCTAAATGTTTTTAAAGTCATCGTGTATATAAAACAATATAATACATGATACAGTAATTTATTAACATAACTATATTTTAAGAAAAATGAAAATATATGTATTTATAATTGCGTTTATAAATCATCCACTCAGTCATTTATTCGTGCTCTCTAACCTCTCCCTGCTCACGGCGTATAATTTTAGAACCTACTATAGGCAAAGCTGGTCTATGTATATAAGTATGTAACATTATAATAGTATGCTATTACCAACAAATATAATTTTAGTAATTGTGATAATATTATATTGTACATTACTTTGTCTGTTTCATCTACTTGTATTAATGAGTCTTCCAGGATAACGTTCTTAGCGTGATTGTCATACCTCTGTGGCTCAGATAGGTAATACGCATTCATAAACGTCCCAGCAGGTCCTCCGTAAGGGCTCCATTGCCACGGTTTGCAGCACGACTGATGAGCTGCAGCCGTTGCCGCCGTCACTGGTTTTCTAGCGTTAGTGTTTCTGGTGGCCTGTGTATGATATTAACGAGTCGTTGACAATATTAGTTAATTTTTGATAATGATAATTACTATATACGAAAACGGCGACACAAACTCCGTGTACTAATCAGATCATTATATTTTCAATATAACTTTCGTACTGTTTATTATTATTTTTTTTTACAATAGTACTTACGTATGCCACTTGGTGTAATTTGTGCAGATCGCTGTAATACTGTAAATGATGATGTTGTGGTAAGTTTGTTTGTGAATGTCCGCTATTGAACTGTTTCGAATTTTTCTCTTTGATAAATGGTGGCAACCTGTATCGTAACAATATCATAATATATTACAATAATATAGTACAATATGGGTTAAATAAAGGTTTAAAGGTACACGATTTGCTTGCAAAATAATAGAAAATAACATCATAGATCGTATTTAATAAATAGAAAATGTGATGATAATAATTTACGTTTGATTTTATAACACTTCATACACTGAAATTTCAGTTGAAACAGGTATAAGTCAAACTCAAATAAATAAAAATTGTAATGTTAATCAAAAAACTGAATCTTTTATAGGCATATAAAGTTATAATATTTATTAAAATTTGTTTTATTCTGGATTAAAAATATAGAATTATTTTTTCTTTAAAGGTTGATAAAATGTTAATGCTCATTTATAAAATTTGAAAATGTGGTGTTAGATTCTTCGTGAATTTTACTTATAGCGATTGATATATATATATATATATATGCAATTTGTTTTTGACAAAAATTAGTTCAATCTATTACTGCCGTATTACTAATAGAAAAATAAATTATCAATAGCTTTTTTTATAAAATATATTAAGAAATATATGTTGACAAATCATCTACAATCAGAATTTTTTCATAAACAATGATTAATCATTGATTTTAAATTTAACATATCCATTACAGTGTATAATATACAGTCAATGGCGAGGAACACTTGACATGAACTATATAGAACAGAACCAAATTCCAAGGTTCTTAGTTACAAGACAGCTGTTCTTACTATAATAAAAGTTCTATACCCTATTTTAAAATATTTAAAACGTTTTTATACTCTCCTCTAAGAAAACATTAACTCCAATGTTTATTTATGAATACGATTCCATATCGTTAGTTAATTTTGAAATATCATACAATTAAATTACAAGTATTTAAATTCATAATTAATACTTGAGTTATAACTTTTAAAATCAATGAGTAATGTAAAGAAACAATTATCATGCACAATATTTTAATTGTTTGTCTTAAAAAAGGTAAAGATAAATGGAATATCATTAAATTTTTAAAAATAAGTAAAAACTATCACTAAAAACATTTTTACTCGTCAATGTAGTTGCTGAATTGTGACATTAGCTGATTTAATCTGGTAGAACATCAATAAACCTTTCTTATCTAACATGGGAAGTATAAATGACAACTGTTGATTTGTAATTTGTAATATCTACCAACATTATAACGCATATTCCGACGTCCACAGATAAAATTTGACTCCAGAAATAGTACATTTATCAAAGTTATCGTAGTATTGGTTGTTGTGGATAACCTTAGTTGTCGTAAGTTTTGGAAATCAAACAAATTAAATATTTCTCCAAAAATATACTATAATATGATTTAACAAATACACACGTATATTGTGGGTCATTTCAAACATCATAATAAAATATAGGTTATAGGGTATATTTTATAGCATTCAATGGGTATAGTAGTTGAATCAGAAATGGTAAAAATTATTCATATTCAATCAAAATTTGTTTGTTTTTGAGAAAACACGGTTGCAAGCAACGGTAAAAATCTGTGCTGTAGTTGGTTATAATTATAGTAAGCACCTATTAATAATTTGATACGAACACATATTTTTATCAAATTTTGTATAGATTGAAAACTTTTTCAAAATTAGATGACAAAATTATAACATTTAATCGTGAGCCACTCATTATACAAATTTATACTCAATCCTCACACCCTGACCAATCAACCACCCCTCCTCCCACCACCATATAAAGTACAGTACATATTTTTGTGGTCAGTCCTAGAAAAACTACAGTAGTCTGTATACAAAATATAGGTACAAGTGTATTGTTCACCTGGCAAAGTGTTTTGACATGACTTCCCATTCGATGGCCTCACAGGTTTTGACATTGTTGGGGTTGGGACGACGAAGCGGTTCGTAGTAGAAATGTGTAGTCGATGGAGTGGACAATGTCGATGAATGCGACTGTGATGGCGACGGTGAAGATGACGACAATAGCGACGGTGATGACGACGACGACAGCAGCATCCCGTTGTCCGGTTTGCGGACTTCCGGTCCTTCGCTGCCTCGTGAAACAGGCCTCCGAACTGTCGTAAACTTTTTGTTTGGCCGGCGGGGGGCCCCGAAAGCGACCGGCCAGTGATGACGATCGCCTACACCGTTCACGCTGCATTCGCTGTCGTACGTCCGGAACCGATCGGTCATTATTGTATTATTGTTCCGACTGTTCCGAGTGAAGTTTTCTGTGAGCCGGCGGTAACGATGACGATGGTCATTTAATGCGACTTCGACGACAACTATAATGATTACAGAGGTATTATAATGAGATGCGCCGACTGAAAACAGTGTGCGCGTGCACGATAATATTATGGAGGTATACCGATTACCGAAGACTTGGCATGCACGTGCCAAACACGTTTGGCGTAGGTATATACAATATAATAATGTAATAACGATATTTTGCGGGTCCGCGAATGACCCGCTTGCGATAAGTCGTCATCGATCTACGGTATCTCTGCGACGTCGGTGGCAGTGATGGGTTTTCGTTCCGCGTTCTAAATGATACGAAAATCCCCTGTTACGCCGCACCGCGTCGTACAGTAGATATTATGAACATAGGTACGCGATTCTTAAAATAAAAATCGAAATTTTTCTGTAACATACGATCGCGAGTAGGTACATAATATAGTTGACGGACATCAGTTACGTACCGATATGTCACGATACGTAATAGTTGTAGGTATACGGGCTATATATATTAGGTACCTGTGCGTCTTACATACTACCAATGGTCATAAATTTATAAATAGTATAAACAAATTTGAATATTAATCTATTATTAAAATAATAATAATAATAATAATTATTATTATTATTAATTGTAATTTATCATTTATTGTATTTATTAATCATCAATTATTGTTTCTATCAATACTAGTCTACAACTGTGCACACCTATAACCGTTTACTACTTAATACAATATGCAGAATAATTCTATTTTAATTATAAACGTGTCCAATGATTCGGTAGAATTTTGTAAAAGACATTTATTTTTATATAATTCAAACTCCAAAGTATGAATTATTAGTATTTAATAATATGAATACACGTCAATACATAGTCAATTTTTCTACCGATAATGACTAATATTTTTAATTTAATTTTATTTTTATTTTGGAAGTGGAATATTCTAATAAAATTACTAACGTAAACATTTTAAAATAAAATTATATTTTTTTTTCATCTACATAATTATAACATATTATATAATACATAATGTATTATATTATTATTACCTATCTAGCTATATTATTTAAGTATTTATAAATTATTATAGGTAATGTTCAGATAATTGGAATGAAATCATGGGCGCCCATTGGGGGGGGGGGGGGACAGGGCACTTGCCCTCTCCCTGGAAAAAATATTACCACAATATTACCTTATTACCGAGGCAAATTATTTGTTGAAATCACTTTTAATATATGAAATAAATATAAAAATATACTCATTGTTATCGTATATTAACATCATAGATAGGTCGTATTCTGTAGTCTGTATAACCTATACGTAAAATAATTTATCGCAGATAATTTGTGGTAAATCTATAAAGATCACAATATAGGTACTACAAATATTTCAACTTAACGCAAACAAGGATACTTTCATTCAAGATGTCATTAATATGTTTGGAATAAAACGAAGAAATTTACAGTTCTTATTTACTGATACCGAATAATATACTTAATTATATTATTTAATTTCTATTTTTTTATATACTTATTAAAATTATTATTTATTTATTTATTTATTTATTCGTATGGCAATTATTATTTATTAATTTATTTATTTATATGACAATTATTATATTAATACACTATATATATATATACAAATAAAAATATAACATGCATGTATAGTGTATACATTTATATGTGAAAAATAATATTAAATCTTTATTATCTTACATTCGAAATTTTTTTTATTTTGACCCCCCCCCCTCTAAAATATTACCTATGGGCGCCCATGAATGAAATAGTAGTGATTTTTTGTGCAAACTTTGAAATCTTTAAATAGTGATAAATAATAACCATTTGTTCGATAATCGATATTTATTTATTAATGATCATATGCATTTTTAGAAAAATATTCTGTTTTATTAAAATAAAATTTAATATCAACAATGTAATAATATAAGCAGTGAAGTAGATCTTCGAACTATAGACATTGTAAGATGACTTGTTTTCTAAATTGGCCGATATTATGACTATCATAATCAAAATAAATAAAGAACTACTGTTTCGAAAGAATAACTTGCCTATAAATTGTTAAATTATTATTTGTTTTTAATATTATATAAATATTTAGGATTACAAAATTTAAGTACTTAAAGATTGCTCATAGCATATTACACGATAATAATTTTATTTTTTTGAATCAAAGAAAATAATTTTTTCAACTAAATAAAAGTATTGATGTATGTTTTAAAAATGTTTTAATAAACGACAGATCTTTTTATTAGATTTTTCTGATAATTTCTAAACATTTTACTAAATAGTAATTTTAAATATTTAATTAATAATTATACATTGCAAGATTTATGATATAAATTATATATTATATATTTATTCGTGGTATAACGTCGAAAAATAAATACATTATATTTATATAATATACGAGTATGTGTATACCACTATTGACTTCCTGATTTTAATAAAGCTACTGTACCATAACGTAACTCGAAACTAAAAGAATTAAGCATTTGAGAGTGCATTTTTAATAACGAAAATGTTCGTGAGTAAGTTTTTTATTACGTCTATTGAAATATATAATCTTTAAACTCGTGTCATATGATGTTATGATTCAATGATTTTGAATGAAACTTTTGCAAGTGTTGAAGAACGGGGGTGATTGAGTACTCATTTCACTGGAAAATACGACACGTAGGGCTGAATATTGACCGTGAATATTAAAAAGAACTACGTGTTTCTACAATAGGGCAGATTATATTGAATGTATAAACTACAATCTCAATGTGGTTTAGGACGGAAATAATTATATATTTAGAAATAAATTACAATATGTGTTCAAAGTGAGAAAAGAATAAAAGCGTGTATAATATAATATTTTATTGTTTAAAAGAAATGTATGTGTATCTTTTATTATATTATATACTTGTAAATTAAATTCATTAGAAATAAAATGTCTTTTATTTAGTTTTAGGTTATTCAATTTGTGTATTAATAGCAAGAAAAAAATTTTTTTTTTAATCCGTTTTTTATCTTTACGAGTTTATCTATCGTATCTATACCAATTCAATTTGTATGATTTATTTAATAATAATATACAATGTTATAGAATATTATTATATACTAAGTAGTTGGTAACCATGTAAACATAAAAATAAAAATATATATGAATAACAATTATTTAATTGAAATATTAATTGATCCTTTACTTTTGTTTAATATCATAGAATACCGTTTCAAAACGTTCATATATTTACGGTAACCATATTTATTATTACTTTTTTTTTTTTTTGTAAGAATAGTGAGGATTTAATTAATTTTTGTAAATGTGTATGTTAATTATTTAAAATAAACTAAAACTAATACAGTCAAGTATTACGGTTATTATAATATTATACATTTACAAGTAATCATGGTAACAACTAACAATCATTAAATAAAATGTTTTTGATAATTCGAATTTGGACTTGCCGAATTAAGTAAAAAAGTTAAATAAATTAAATCGAAAACTTTATATATTATTTTTATAATTGTTTGAATAATATCCAAAACAGTGATATCCAATAATTAAATACGCTTTTTAGTTATTCGAGTCTACTAATATACTAATAGAATATAATTAATAACTTCAATAGAAATACATTACTTGGTATTTTATTTATAATTTCTGAACCTTAACTGTATATTTTTTGAAGAATTTTTGATACCTTTGATTAGAATGTGTCTAAATTATTATCGATTGTATCCAGGGACATCACGTTATACTTGTATAATGAATCAGCAGCTTATATACATATTATATTGTTAATACTGATAGTGATGACATAGAACTATGAAAAGCAAAGACATAATATAACATGTTACATGTAAATAGGATATAAGATGAACGGGTCAAGTACGATATTATGGGAGTAAAATAAAAAAAACTTGAAAACAGAATTGATTTCAAAATTACTAAGTATTAATTATAATTTAAGAATATAAATAAATACAACATAATACAACAATAATTATTCATTAATCATTAAACATCAATTAATTTAGAAGTAAAAATAGTTTAACACCTACTGAAAGTAGGTTTTTGAAAAATTGCCAAATAATAATAATAATTCAATGTATATAATAGGTAACGAAACGATTAGATAATTACAATATGAGATTTACAGATTTCGTGATTGTTAAATGTACCTAAGTATGTATTACTTAAAATGACTGAAAGAAAAAAAATCATGCTCACACTCAATATTTATTACGGCCTAAAAAATGTCACATCATTTATTTTCAACTCGAAGTTAATTACTTCAAAGATTTGTTTACTAAATCTATTTGAATGCGTTCGAACAATAAATAAATATTTCTGCGTGAACTTTTACAATACTTACTAATTTATTATACAATAATATATTAATAAATTATTGATTGTGTTTCACAAAGTCTTACAATAAAATCATACTACGTAACAAACAATGATTCTTATATTATTTGATTATTCTTTAAGATGTCCGATGTAAGGTAATAAGTTATGAGATGAGTTCGATAATTACAAGTATACCTGCTTAAAATCTTAATTATTTCAATATTATATTACCTATAAAACGAAAATATTGTATGCATGTAAACACTGTATAATGTTTATAAAAATATGCCACTTCATTTGCCTACATTTTAATAGCAGTGTACCGCGAACGGCATAAACTATTATTATTTTATAGTTAGTAGTTGAATTCATGCTAAGTAATAAGTATAAATAACTAAAATTCTGAAGATGAATGTATTGAAATAAAAATAATTAATTAGAAAATTATGCGATTACATTGATTTGTGATAATAATATAATTCATAGAATACTCATGTGTATTATGGATAAATTATTATCCTATCAAATGTAATTAACATTAATATTTAATGCCTAAACACACTTAAACTATGATGTTCGTTAATAAAATTGTATCATTTTTTGTTATAATAAATGAGGACCAGAATATCAAAATTTGTTTTTCTCAATAAATATACGTATAATATAGGTACTCCTATCATGTTTTTACGTCTAACTAAACTATTAATTATTATTCTATAATATAATTTGATACTAATGAAGAATAACTAAATTAAATTTTAACATCATTAATGTACATAAAGAGCTAAAACCACATAATATATATAAATATATAATATTCACTGAAAGTACATAACAATTTTTGTTTGATTAAAGAGTGGTGATAATATAACATTTGAACTACGCGTTTTGGCAACACTTCACATTTTGATCGTTTTGCCCGTCTTTATTATTTCCGTGTTTGACGTAATCTACAACTAATTCTAATCCAATTAGAGCCGTTAAATCTTTACAATTCTTTTTTTCGCCACCTTCGGGTTGCGCTGTTTCAGGACCATCACCCTCCACATCAATAATTTTTTCTTCCTCTGGTGCCACTTGCTTATATATTTTCGTCAAGTTTCCCATCAAATAACTCGTTCCTTGTTTATTGTTAATATTTTCGTGTTCTTCCACTTTTGACGGTTCGGGTACACGGAATGCAGAATAATGTCTATCCTGCTTTAGCGGATCTGAACGTATTTGTAAGTTTAATGGTTCCGCTTCTGGAGTCTTAAAATAGACCGGTGGGTAAGTAGGTGGATAAAATGGTGGGTACCATAATGGAAATTGTGGTTCTGTTTGTGCAGGTGGTGGTATTGGTACGAAATCCATTTTCTTTTGCTTAGTTTCAGATAATTGTTCAGCCTTTCCACTATCCTTCCAGGTCCGTTTTCGTCCTCTTTTATTTAAGGATAAGGGTGTACAAGATTTTGCTTGTACGAATCTTTTCAGCATTTCGCTAAAATATAATCCCGGCGGTACAAACGTAGAATTGGTCTGATACGGTGGCGTGGCCGCTAATAAACGACTTATCAAATCGCCATTTCTAAAATCTGAAGGAGACTCACGTACTGTGCCCGACATTATCTAAAAAGATAAAGAATATTTAAATTAAGAATTATCAAATACAATTTGAACGTAATTAACAAAATAAAAAATAATAAAATACATTAGAAACAATAATAATATATTAAATAATAGTTAACCGCTGTATCTAAATGCAATTTATTCTGAAATAAAAAATATGTATGAATAAAATTATTAAAATTACAAGAAAAATGCTATTATATAGTGAATAACTATGCATATATTATGCACAGGTCTCTTAATGGTCAAATTCATAATATTATACTAAATATGAATTGATCTGATATATATGAATATTTATTTATTTATTATTCAACCCATTCCAACAGTGGCCATTAATTGAAATATATCATTATAAACGTTTTAATAGTAAGTATACAACTTTGAAGACTAAGCATTAAAAAATGTGTATTTTCTGATTTAAAGTAAAAATGATAATGACGCGATATTTTTATTAAATATGTTTGTTATTATTATGTACTGGCAATATTGGAAACATTTACAACAATATAAAGTCGTTTCAAGCTAGAGAATTCTAAAAGCCATATTTAATCTATTGATTTTCAGTAAGAATTTCGTAATTATATTTATTATATTATAAGAATCAACATATCGAATTATCCACTAACTCTTCGAGTAAATCGAACCATATATACTTTTTTAGAGTGTGGAAAAGTATAATGATTATTTACAACAAAAATTATCCTGAATCAGTGTTATTATTATAAATTTATTTTTGGCCGATGACAATTTGAATACTCTAGAGATTTATGCGAAAGTTTTGAATTGGACGTTGCGTAGAGTGACGGTTATAAAATTCGATTTGCACGCGGTCTCGTGGCATCCAAAAATATATAATAATTTATAATTGGTATATACACTGTACAGCAGTCGGAAATAATATATGCACGTCTAGTTAACTATAACCCCAGGACTCATTAGTCATCATCGCCCTCGACAATACCACATATGCATATGTACGTATATGCCCGTCCCCATCATATTATATAATGTACATATGTATACCGCAGCCGGCCTTTTCCACACAAAAGCAAAAAACACGCAATCACGTCGAATGGACTTCGTTTTAAATTTACTACCTCTGTCATAATTGTATTCAACGATCCACCCCTGTTCATATTACTATTATACGAAGACCTGACAATGAGTAGTTGTCTCATCAATTTTTCACGTGTTTGTGTTAACTAATTTACACTGTTTAAAAAAAAATAATCGTTGCGCGCCACTTTAACTGGACATGATTTAAAATATATGTAAAAAATATCATACGCAAGGTGATTCTTTATAACTAAGCAGAAATTTTCCTTTTAAATGGGTATTTTAAAAAACATTATTGTTATTATTTTTTACATATGAATTTAAAAATAGCAACACTGAATTGTTAAAAAATCTTATAATTTTAAGTTTCTTTTTAAATTTCTTACTTTCTGAAAAACCGCAATAATAAAATTATACAATATACATAATAATTTATTTAATATTCTGAAGTAGAATAAATTATTTCCTATGTTTTAAATCGTATATAACTAAGAATAATTTGATGAATATTTTTAAAGTATTTTCTTGTTTTTTGAGTATAATTTAAATTTGCGCTCAATTAATGACCTTTTTCTAGGGCTTATAAATATTTTAAAACGCCTATTTTTTTGTATACTGGTTTATCTTTTACCATTGATCTTTCTCCCTACCATCATAACATAATAGTTAAATATACTCTGGCTTTGTAGAAGTTTATATACTATACAATGTATATAATCGGCTATCGGTAATACGATCGCATAGTCACTATAATACGGTAATACGCCTATATTCTCATCGCGACTGCCAATCGGAACAACGCTAGTGGTGGGTACTTTTATTAATTTTGTGTTTTGCCTACAAATAAAAAAAAAAAAAACAGTAATAATATAACTGCATAATATTATTATTTGCGTTTTGTCCGAAGTAGATATCATCATCGTTCCCAAGTTTTAAACTATATTTTTCGTCGACGAAGATTAATTATAAATATATATTATATATACTTTAGGTTTTTCTCAGAACCGTTGTTATTAATTTTTTTGTTCGTTTGATTTCGAGAAAAATAAAAAAACTATAATATTTGAAACCGAGGAGACGAGGACACCGGAAACAAAAGATGTGACAGGGACCGCACATCGGTTGGTCGGACTCGCTGCAGATAATACGTATTATGCACAGTTGACAACCGGACAGACAATACGAAATAATATTCTCGTCTGCGATGCGAATAATTCAATTATTGCGAGTAAATGGGAAATTCGAACCCAATTTGCACTGCGTTGCACCGTCAATCCCCTCTACATTTTGCATTTTCATTGTATCACATATAGATTTGCGCGTGCACACACCCATACAACAATTGCTATAATATATACACATATAATACGTGTTTGTGCGTGTAAGTGAGTTTGACATTCACGTTTCCTACGGCTATACGTTTGTCATTTATAGGGGAACAATCATCCTTTCGTGTTCTCTCTGCGGTTAGGTACACACTACATATTATTATACACTGCCTTCCAAAGTTCTGTATTATTAAACATGTGCATATACATAAATATATATATATATATATATATGCGCATTAAACATACCTATACCTATAAACTATATACTTATTTACATACATATTTAATATGAGTAGGCACACTATAATGATAAAAGCATTTAAAACAATAATCGTTCTCAGTATTAGAAAATACGTCATTAAACCGATGTATAAGCTTTTAACTTTTGGATAATGATAATAACGTAATATCTGACATCAAATTATAGTGTTGGGATGTCATTGTGTAAAAAGCTATATCACTATAGGCTTATTTTTTCTCTATAGCTATGTATCGAATAATAAGTTAATTATTGTTGAATATACTTATTGAGTAATAAGTAACGAATGTGAAGTTCCAAATTAAATTTGAAAATATAGGTCAACGATAGGTATCCACTATAAAAATATAACAAATTAAATTAAATTTCAAAACTATTTTTTTTTCTGTCCTTTCAGTGTTTAAATAGTTTTTTAGCATATTTTAAAAAGTAAAGAAATGTTTACACAAGAACTTTTAAAAAAAATATAATAAAATACATGTCATATTTTAAATCAAAACAGTAAAGCACCATTTTTTCTATTATTGATGTTCTTCGATTTACAAAAAAACATATTGCCAGGTCACCGACGTATTGAAAAATATCAAAAATGTTTTTATTTATTTATAAAATGCTATTTTAGAAAATCATTTTATCAGTACAAAAGCTTAACTATACTAATTTTATAAATACAATTGGAAGTAGAAGTATAAATTTGATTAAAATTGTGTAAAAATGTTAATGAACATATTTTTTTAATCACAGTTGTTTTTCTAATTAAAATCTTATTGGTTTGTTATTATTATTATTTGTTAGAAACGTAATAGAATTCGCTTATTTTCTTTTATAATTTATAATATTGTTCCATCGAGTTTGGTTTTTACGAATAATGAATAATCAAACCAGTTTAGATATGAACATAATGAGTTGAAAAAATTTTCAAAGTTTTCAACCAAACGATATATTTACGTTTCGTTGATATGTTTTATTAGCATAATATAACATATAGTTAATGTATAACTATATAGTTATTATGTCTGGTTAAACCTTAACTTTTAACATGTTTGTAGTATAAAGTTGGTAATTATATAGAGTATTTGGTACTGCAATAATAATTATAATACCGCAGTCTTGTATGTTTCATACTTGATTGTGCTTTTATTATACATTTATGAGGTTACGACATCATTTGACTAAATTGTATAACTTTTATAGGTATATACACTTACAATAAAATTAGTATATCTGTTATAAACACGTACGTGACTTTACGCGTACCTATAAGTCTGATGACTAGTGTTTTTAGTATGTTATGTAACTGCAGAGTTTAGATATTTATAATACAAAATATATAATAACGAAAAAATCCATAGTGTACAAACAATAAAGGAAAGCAAATCTTCGGGGAATGGCAAACTGCCGAATAGTGGTACATATATATACACAGACCAAATGAACAAAAGATTCTACCCCGATGCAAACAAAAGGCAGTACGCCCTATACATATTATATGGTGTATGATCTGTGAATTGTTTGTTGATCAGAAATAATGCCATCTTAATGGAACCCGTGTGGTTTTCGAATTAGGCAAAGTGCCTTTCTAATAATACAGCTAACCGCAAAACATCGATACTTTGGCATGAAAAATATAATTACTTTTATAACTAGAAATCGAAAAACTGTATAAAAATCATATCGTTTTTTGAATATAATAATATTTAATATAGCACAGATAGTGTTAGAGAAAAAATATATATTCATTATTATTGATACAGAATAAATCTTCCCTAAAATAATGAGAAAAGTAGGTGTAACAATGTAGCCGCCAAAATCTCTTATGGTCGACTTAGGGGTTTTACCCCATCTAGATTCTTGAATAATTTCAAAAAAAAAAAAAAAATCTCAGAAAAATATTGATGATTTAAATTTAAGAGAGGTTGCAAAAAGTAGATTATATACATATTTATATTCTGTTGTTGCTCGCCCGTCCGGATTGCAATAAATTGCAGTCGATGTGGTACAACATATAATATGTGCGCGTATACTGTATAGTGCACAATAAAACAATTAATAGAAAAGAGGTTACATCATATCTTGTGAATATATTCGTATATATATGTGGATACGTAAACAGTTAAAATTTGGCAATTCACAATGAATAAAAATTTACTTGATTATAGTTGGTACTTGGTATTTATGTGATATAACTACAAACAATGTCGTATCTGGAAGGATGTTAAGAGTTCAATCTCCCGAAAATCGTGTACGGTTTTGACTGCATTACTGCAGCAAAGAAAGCATAGTTTCAAGATTATAATTATTGTACACTATACATACTATTTATGTATATAAGTTATTATTATAGTGTATGC